TTATGCTTTATTTCATACACTACTTATAAGGAATTTATATTTTCATTTCTTTTCTTCTTCACTTCCTCAGTCTTAGGGTTGATGGCATCATGGTTGCCTCTCAGCAGTTTTATCTCCAAGGACAGTTTTATGTGGTAAGGTCTTCCATTCCTTATATTGCCTAAGTATTCTAATTTTAACATTCTCTTTCTTGGTTTTCTCTTCCATCTGACTCTCTCCTAATAACATATTTGTATTTATATCACTCTATGAAGTGGGTAAGAGTGAATAGTTTAGAGCAATATTTCTTAAAATTCTGATTTATAGACATCAGCATCTATGAATTTATGGTGAAGGAATCTGTAATTACATTTTAGCATTAATAGAAAATCCTCAAAAAACAAAATTACATAGAGAAATACATACATAATAGTTAAAAATACAATGACTATTTTGTGTTAAATAATGTTTTAACATAAACTAAAAATAGTTTTAAAAAGAAAATCTACTGATTTTCTTTTTGAAACTGTGTCCTGTTTTATATTTGTGGCGTAATAAACACTAGTATTGTGTTTTATTCTAAAGACACATGGCAAATTTTCCATCAAATTTGATGGAAAATTTGCCATGTGTCTTTAGAATAAAACACAATACTAGTGTTTATTACGCCACAAATATAAAACAGGACACAGTTTCAAAAAGAAAATCAGTAGATTTTCTTTTTAAAACTATTTTTAGTTTATGTTAAAACATTATTTAACACAAAATAGTCATTGTATTTTTAACTATTATGTATGTATTTCTCTATGTAATTTTGTTTTTTGAGGATTTTCTATTAATGCTAAAATGTAATTACAGATTCCTTCACCATAAATTCATAGATGCTGATGTCTATAAATCAGAATTTTAAGAAATATTGCTCTAAACTATTCACTCTTACCCACTTCATAGAGTGATATAAATACAAATATGTTATTAGGAGAGAGTCAGATGGAAGAGAAAACCAAGAAAGAGAATGTTAAAATTAGAATACTTAGGCAATATAAGGAATGGAAGACCTTACCACATAAAACTGTCCTTGGAGATAAAACTGCTGAGAGGCAACCATGATGCCATCAACCCTAAGACTGAGGAAGTGAAGAAGAAAAGAAATGAAAATATAAATTCCTTATAAGTAGTGTATGAAATAAAGCATAAGATAATCTTAATTAAATTAGCCTGTAAAGTATTACTCAATGCTGTCTAGGAGAGATATGCAGTAGTCAAACAATTAAATTGTGTATGCTGATGTTTCTGGTCATGAAGAGATTTTCACAGGAAAAAAATTTAGTTCTGTAACTTATTGTTATGGTACTTGTAGCACAGTAAGCAGGGAAAAATATGTCAGCACAATTTTTTAAGGTAACTCTAAAAGCACACTTGCATCATTGACATTATTTTCATTAATTACAGCTTCACAAGAAAGGAATGGTTGTGATCATCACTATTGACCTGCAATAAGAAAAATTGTGTTTCACATACTTTAGGAGGTTTTACATTCAGAAATTGACTATAGTATTTGTGCATTATTCATATGCTACATATATTTTTGCTGCCTGCAGCACAAGTTTTGTAGTGGTAAATATTCGGACTAAATTTTTCCTATGGAAATCTCATGTTCAAAACATTAACATACAAAATTTATGAGTTTGGATTGATATCCCTCCAGACAGTGTTGAATAAGACCACTTTAATTACGATCACCCAGTACATATAACATTCATCATACATTAATCTGGAGCAATCATGGATTAATCTGGAGAATAACAATGCTCAGATTAATAATATATTATCTTAAAATATATTTAACCAAAAAAATGTATTCTTTCTTGATTTTTCATAATAATGATTGTAAAAAATCATATAATTGCAAGCCTTTAATAATTGATCATTTGTAATTTTTTCTAAGCAGGATGGGAAATAATGGTGGCATTATGAATAAAGGGAGGGAGGAAGTGGACCAGTCCTACTGGTGCTCCAAAAATTCCTGATAGCTCCAACTGCCCCTGCTCTTTTTAATAACTATGAAAAAAACTACAAATTATCAATTTAACTACTGTATTAAATTATGATTTTGAAAAAATATATTTAATCAGTTTGCTCTTTAGTTTAAGAAACTGAAAAAATTATCTCTGTAAATAAATAAATATAAAAATTGATGAAGTAATTATAAATTAAAATATTGATTATTAAACAACTATCAAAAAAGATTTGTGAGACAGAATGACCAAGGATAAATTACAATTTAATAATGATGTGAAACTAAGGTATTGATGATAATATTCATAAATTTATTTTATTTCCTAGGAAACTTATTGACAATATAATACAAGATTAACAAATAAAAGCCTCTCAAAACTCAACTCCAGAGAATAAAATGAAATTAATTTATCATATAATTTTAAATTATTTATCAATTGCTTTTTATTTTTTGAAGCATTTTTGGAGAGGCTTTTATTTATTACATAAATAATTTTAAAATAAATTTGTAACATTTTAAAACAATTATTTTCTTCTTATAACTGATAACACAAATGAAACAATACCAAAGTTTTAATTTAGTTTTAACTTATTTTGAAACTTTCAAATAATAGAATGTGCATATTCCAAAAATTTGTAAGATTCAAGTGAGAACACTAATGAAACAAATTTTATTTCATATAAATTTACATAAGTCTAAATATATTGATATTAACAAGTCATATTTTTGATTTATTGAAATTATCACAGTAATTTTGACTAGAAAAACTATACAGATGTTTATTATTAATTAAAAAGAGGAAATTTCTATTCTGGCCGAGTCTGGAAAAATTTTATTAATGATTCTAAATCATAACTATCCAATAATTGTAAGAGAGTTGGTACTTTGCTTTTCACGTTAACTCCTCTAAATTTATAGACATCAATATAAAGATCAGTAATCATACCTAGAAAAAAATTGATATATTATAAAAATTAAATCAATATTTTTATTAGTAATTACGTATCTTATTTACTAACCATNACCAGAGTAAAATACATGTTTGTTAAAGAAATTTAAATATTATATAAGTATTATACGATGTCAATATCAATATTATAATATTATTATAATATTCATTTATGTTTTAAGAATATTCTATGCTATTACAATTTACTGAGTAGCCTATATAATAGACATGATTTAAAAACGATAATTATTATTCTTATTTTCGAATTTCATTTTGAAGTTATTGTCTGTATATGTATACAAATAGAATATCTATCTATCTATCCGTCTGTCTGTCTGTCTATTCCATATACACTTCTAAACCCTTTGATCAATCCAAACAAAATTACTCAAGAGTTACTCTATAGAACTTTGCGGAAAATATAGGATGGTCCATTTTAATCAATCCATTTGAATAACTCAAAAAATACACATTCTACAAAAAAAATTGCTGCAATGAAAATGTTAGACTTCAAGGGGACACAAATTGGGGCTATCAATTCCATTACAGATGGCACTTCAATCAGTGAAAACAGCCAGCTTTATTTTTTAAATGGAAACCCCCACTTTTTATTGCATATTATGATTCTCATGACACAGAATGTTAAAGCCATCAAACTTGTGATAAAGAGAAGGCATTGTTCTTATTTCCACCAAATAAAACTTTCCTAATAAATTTTTTAGCATTTTTATTCCATTTTTCAAAGAATTCACAATCAACAGATTGAGATATGCAGTGTGGTAGCCACATAAAATTTTAGATGCTTATAATGTCTTGTAAGTGCATCTTTTAATAAAGATATTTTAGATAATAGTTTGTTTTTGATGTAGAATGTATTTTTTTAAATCAGAATCCCACTTTTTATGCATATTATATGCATAAAAAGTGTGTTTCTGATTTAAAAAAAAATCAGAAACACACTTTTAAATCCATTGTCAACAATTTAAAAAAAAATCCATTGTCAACAATTTTAGCACCATCTATGATGAAACCAAAACACCATCTTGCAGCCTCCTTGAACACTAACATTTTTTGGTTCAATGATTCTTTTGTAGAATGCATATTTTTCACGTTATTCAAGTGGATTGATTAATTAAAATGAACTGTCCTGTATACATCTAGTTCTTGCTTTAATCATTCTCCATTTATGTTTTCTGATATACTTCTGATGAAAACATCCCACCTCTCAAAGAGAGAACACTTGAAAAAATATTAAAAACTATCATGCTCAATATTTTCCAGTTAACATGTTCTGATGTTATGTTGTTATCCAAACTTTAAAACAGGCACTGCAATTTTATTTCATATGCTTAAGAATCAAAATATACTATGTGGTCCTCAACATTTTTAATGATATTTTCATATATTTTTCAATTTCAATAACTTTTCAATAATTCAATAACTTTAATTATTAGAGTTCCAGGTAGTTAGTTTTTTAAAGTAAAATACTAAACACAAGTCATTACAAATTTATTACTAAATTCTTGTTAAAATTTAGTGGAAAGTCTTAAAGTCTTATTTTTGTCAACCTCTAATTCTTTGTTTATTTTCTCCTCTCCCTCTCTCTCCCATTCCATTCTAGATTCAACATCAATTCTACAATGTATTATATACAATGTAGAATTGATGTTATTAATTGTACAATGCATTTTTGGAGAAAACTATTGTATAAATCAGCCCAATTATTCTTTATCTTATTCTATAATTTTATAGAATAAGATAGAGAATAAATAAAAAATTAGATAGACTAAATAAAATTAAATAGATAATTTTTGAATGCAATTCAAATGATTTTATATTCAGATCAACATAGCATATGCTATAATTCAATAAATATGATGAACAAATCATTTATTATCCTAATATGTTATGTAATGCTTATTCTTACATGTTTCAAACTATTTCTTATAAATATTTTTCAGTGCTTAAATGAGTACAGTAATTTTCTGCAATTCTCTATTTTAAAATGTGTTAAATAAATCTGTTATTCACTTCCAGGAATCTTCCATCACATAATTACTAGAACTAAATGTACATGAATAATATATATATATTTACTATAGAATATACAGTATATAAAATTATTTATTTCTTACTTTTAAGGCATCAATCACTTGAACTTTCTTTGCTAACAATAACTGATATTCTAATTTTGGATGAATCAAATTTAAAGTATGTGCAATACTTTCTTCATTAATATCTAAAATAAAAAATTATTCTTCTGTTACATTAGTCAAAAAAAGATAATTTACAACACATATACAGAGCATTGAAATATTATTAAAAAATGATTTTTTGGTAAGTTTAATTTTAAGTTATTAAAAAATAAACCATTTTATAATTTGTAGAATTATAAAAATGCTTTCTTCTATTATATAAGTTATTTAAGTTAAAATATGTAAAAAGATATTAATCAATCCACTTAAAAGACATTTAAACTATTAAATATATTATCAAAAAATTGGTAATTTATTAATATTACATTTTCTTAAAATTATTCAAAGAAATCAAAATTTGAATGAGTATCTTTGCTATTATTATTCAAAATATATTCAGATTAGACTACAGATGAAATTTGCAACTAGAATAAAGCATTCCAAAACATTTATATTATATTATATTTCAAATTTATATATTTAAACAAACAATTACAAAAGATTTAGATTGTGTATTCCTGTATTAAAATAATTTTTCAATTTTGATTTCATAACATGTTATGTCATTTCTTTAGTAGCTTAAATTATCACATAATATAGGTTCATTTACCAATGGATAGATTTTTAATGAAATCTGACAAGAAAATTGCTAATGAAAACATGCTGATTACGTTTTAAATTCATTTATACTAGATAATTAAAATTAATTTATTCCAGTTAAATTTGCAAATTTCTTTTACTAACGTATTAATATTAAATAAACTTTCTAAAATTTAAAAGTCAATACTTTATTAACAAACAAATTAACATGAAAAATATAAACACTGTTATATAAACAATTTAGGACATGATCTGTATCTTACATTGCATAACATTTAACTTTGTAAAGTGTTTATTTTTAATGATTTTTACTTCCTAAATCATTTTAATATGTATAATTTAAACATAAAATGTGAGAATATCTGATGATAAATTTATAAATTTTTAATGTATTATGAATATCCTATTTATTTATATATCAAATAGAAAACTATTATACTTTATCTTTTTATCTAAATTTATAAAATTTGTATATTGTTGGTTTTTATTCTTCTTTGCATTTCATTTTAAATACACAAACTTCTATAATTTTTTAAAATGTTATGATAATACTTTCAAAAAGTATATAAGCAATAAATCATTTGTGTGATATATTTTATTAAAAGTAATTATTTCCAAATTTAAACCTATCTTAAAGATTAAATCATGCAATTTCTTAGGTGAGTAAAAATTTGGATCTCATATTACAAGAAAAGAATCAATTTTTAGATTAAATTTGCCACATTTTTTAAATTTTAATCACAATTTCAGCTAATGAAACTAGCAGAAAGTGCAGGTAAAACTGATAAAAATGGCAATTACAATTATTTCTCGACAAAGTTTACATTCAGTACTTTAAACTGTTAACTTTAGGATTTTATATAATTATTAACAACATTTGCTATTATTCTTATTCTAAACTATGGTGCAAACTTTAACCATATGTAATATATAGAGTATGTACAATAAATGTATTTGTTATTACAGTAAACCCTTTCTAACTTGGACTGATAGGGATGGAGATTGTCCAAGTTAGTGGCGTGTTTTCTGCAATGACACAGAAAAGAAGATACAATAGAGTAATTTATTTCAATCAGCATTATACAGAAGTTTATCAAAGTTTAGTTTATTATTTAGTAATACTAAAAAATTAATAAATACTACTGAAATTATTATTAAAAGGAAAAAAGCTCAAAAAATTTAATCACCATCTTGCAGCCTCCTTGAACACTAACATTTTTTGGTTCAATGATTCTTTTGTAGAATGCATATTTTTCACGTTATTCAAGTGGATTGATTAATTAAAATGAACTGTCCTGTATACATCTAGTTCTTGCTTTAATCANTTATAATTTCTATTATACAGTTTTATCATGGAAATTCATTTTCTGAAAATCTTGTAGATAAATCAAGGATACAAAAGAATGTTTTTCATTCTTAAACAAAATATGAGAAATCTAGAATATGATTTGACATATTAATAATTATCAATAATCAAATTACAGATATTTTATAATATCTGTTGCTTATTTATTTGTTAGTTTTATAACTAACAAATAAGTAAGCAAGTAAAGGAATGATAACAAAAAGAAAATAGTTAATGAAATGAATAACTGAAAAAATTGTATGATTCAAATAGTTCAATCAATCAATAACAAAAAGTGGTTTAACAAACCAATATCATTAATGTTGCTTATGTCATACTTATTATGAATAATGATGGGAATATGAAATCCTAAAGAAAACACTTTGAAAGCTGTAATAAGTGGCTATATAAAAGTGACCACAATTCATAATATCATGTTAATATTATGGTCATTAACATTAGCAGTAACACTAGTTTTAGGTTTTACCATGCTAAGCTTTCTAGCTTAGAATAATATAATACTAAAAATAGAACAATAACTTATTTTTATTTACCATAATATAACCATATATTATCTCTTATTGGTATTTGTTACTTTTTGTGTCATTAATATTAAAAATATAGATCAAAATAACTCAGACAGTTTGGTATCTATCTACTGTATAGTGTAATGCAAACTCATATTTCATTGTTTGCTGGATACTTCTTCAGTGTATCTGTCTCTCTCATTTTCAGTCAAATGAATGCTTGGATGTAATCCAGAAAGATTAACGACAACATATATCTCATGTTGTTAACACTGTGACTTGCCATATTATCATGTTGCTAATGTGATGAGTTTTTAGCTGAGAAAGACAATTTACACATCCCACATCCACTGTACAGCCCAGAATTGACATCCTGTAACTTTTTACTATTTCCTGCACTAAAGTTAAAGATATAGGAAAACATTTTCTGTTTCCAACGGTAGTGGCATTGGAGAAAATTTTGAAGAACATCTCTAAGAATGAGCTACCATATATCTTTTAGGACTACAGAAGTGCAGAAACAATGGCAGAAATACTCTAAATTTTGAGAAATACTTTAAAAAAAAAAACAATGGTCACTTTGCTTGAAGTGGTTATCATGTAAGAAAAAAAGTCATTCTCAATTTGTTTTGACTTACCCTCATGTATAAATATTTGAAGGATTTTATACCTTTCAATATCACGAAAATATTTTTATTTTTAAACATTTATTGGGAAAATAATTTCTATAATGAAAATTTCTTTGATATAATAAAAAAAATGTTTTAAAGATTACTAAATTATAATAAATGCTAATGCCATAATTCACAATAGTTGATTAAAATTAAAAATTGGCTGATGGTATTTACATTAAAATATATTTTTATTTTCAATTTTTAATTTTAATAACTTCCATTTATGTAAGGTAGTCCCTGACTTTCAGATGCAATGTTTTTCTAAAAACATATACAAAAGCTGAATGTATAAAAGTTGAGCAATAAACTTGTATGTTATAAAGGGAATTATTTTCCTGAAAAGCTAAAAAGCAAAATTATAGAATATTTTATTAAGGAAGGAAAATTTTGCTTTTTTACAGAAAATATGTTACAATGCATAAAGCATTATTTTAAATGTTAAAATAGTATGTCAAACAGAATACTGACAATAAAAATTAATTTTCTCAAATGACTTTGATGTTACCAAAACTAGCAGAAAGTGCCACTGCAAGATAGCTCAATATTTTTGTCATCTGAAAACGTATGAAAGTCTAAATTTGGCGCACAAAAAAAATTTAGGGATATCAAAGTATTACACATAAAAGTAAGGCTTCATACATGCTAAACCACTTCTGTTATGTTCTCTATGTAAATTGATTAAGTTCCTTCAATCTTTGACTCATTTAATGACTCTCATATTCTATATTTGCATTGAATTATTTTTATTATAAATTAGTATTGCAAAGATTATGTCACTAAAAGTTAAATCAACATTTATATCTTAACATTACTATTTCATATCATTCTATAAAATGTCTCGTTTTTCCAAGTGACACCTTCCTTGTTAGCCGTTCCAGTGATCTTCCTCAAAAAAGTTTCAGCAAACAGAAATGATATATATAAACTTGATTCTTTTAGATAAGTTTTTGATATTTTATCTTCTATCTATGAAATTTAAAATTATGTTCTAAAAATTATGCTTAGAAAGCATTTCCTGCTATGTAATGAACTGCAGTTTGAGATTGTTTCTTAATTTCAGCTAATTTTTAGCATTAACATTAGCAGTAACACTGGTTTTAGGTTTTACTATTCTAATCTTTCTAGCTTAGAACAATATAATACTAAAAATGGAACGATAACTTATTTTTATTTACTACAGACTAATAAAAATGTTTTATAAACAACCTACACAGATAAGCATTACAAGTCTTTATTATTTCAATTTTATCAAATTACTAAACAACAAATCACATTTTAAAATTAATTATTGAATTATTCAAATTTTATTTTATATAAAAATATTTAAGTTATTAAAGTAAATTAATAAAAATTTTACTTCACTAACCACAAGAAATATCCAAAGAAATTTTTTTTCTAGTTGCTTCTTTTGATAAAACATCTTTCAAAATGGAAATAGTTGATATGCTATCTGATTTAAATGTTGCTTCACCTTTCCTATAAAATATAATAAAATATATTAAATCACATAAATTACTTTCAATTATATTCTTTAATTAAAATCAATAAAAAAATAATTTCAATTAACAAATTANTTGATTTTACATGTAATCGTATGGGAAAAAAATGATTCACCTTACGGCATTTCATGATATGATCTCAGTTTCGGAACGAATTAATTTCGTATCATGAGATACCACTGTATATATAATTTATATATATCGTAAAAAGCTATTAATTACATAACAATTTTAGCATTAATTACAATTGAGATAACTATATTGATACTAATTTAAATATGATAAAGCTATGTTTTGTCAAAAAACCTTCAATAATGCTTAGAATAACAAAAAAAAGTCAAAATAATCAGATGATAAAAATAGGGCAAAATATCATATGATATTATTTATATATGAAATAGAGAATCATGGATTTAAATTTATTTCCCAATCATTCTGAATTATTTGACAATTAAATTTATCAATACATAACTTGATATTACAATAAGAATAACACTATTGTTAAACAAATGGGCTATATTGAAAACTTTCTCAGGCATATTACTAAATAAAAACTGAATCAGGATTTAACTAATTCTTAATTTCAAACTCAGAGAATAGATGTAAAACTTGTTAAACGTATCTTACTTGTAAGAACAACTAAGAACAGTATCTAAAAATGTAGAAACAAAGTATAACGAAGCATAATCGCCTGCTGGAGTTCTCTCTGGTACTTCTGGTAGGCAGAATACAATCCAGGCATGCATTTCTCCTAATGTAAACATTCCTCGTAATGTAAGTGTGTTTAATGGCCTGAAAAAATTGTAGTGTTTATAAATAGTATGCTAAAACAAAAATAATTTAAAATATAAAACATAATTCAATTTTTTAATTATAAATTTATTCAAAAATTATTTTAAGACAAGGCTGTTTTAAAATTAATTAAAAGAACTAAATTTTACTTAAAATATAAAAATTATGTTTTAGTGATAAGTAGCAAATGAGAATAATTAGATTTTAATTTGTTAATTATATGACAGTTTACAATTATATAAAGATAAATATTGATTCATAGAAGTAAACTTAATCAGTAAATTAAAATATTGGATATATTAAAGAAATTTCAAAATGGTGAATAAATTATCAGATAAATTATGATTAATACAGAAACAAATTATTAACATAACAGTAAATTATTAGTTGTATTTAATACTTTAAATATAACTGCACTCTTAGAATATTATTACTATTTGATGTAAAATTCAAATGAAAAAATATCTGCAGTGTTAAAAAATTTTAAATAGATTTTAATTGTGCAGTAAAATTTGTTTATTCAAAACATCCTGGTTGTAGTAAATGATAATAAGCATGACATTATACTAAACATAAAAAGATATTTCTTAAGAAATTTAACTTTAAATAATTATCTGATCTGTATCACTATGATTTGAACCGAATTAAATTAAGAAAACAAATAAACCAGCATATGTGGTATTTATTGAAGTTTTTAAGATAAAGAAACACTCTCCAAAATTAGGAGGTGACTTACAAGGCAAGTGTAAAATTCAAAGCTTTACTAGAGTGGTAAACAATTGTTTTGTACCACTGACTGTTACTCCAGCAAATTGTCAAACAATTTTAATTAAAACTCAAGTTTGATAAACTTATTTATCACAGGGATTAATATAATAATCAAAATTTGGTATAAATGAATACTTCACCACATACAGTACAACTAGTAACTGATATGCCAATCGTACATCATTGATGCAAATGGTAGAGCTTAAGTAAAAATATATTATAGTATTCTATTATCAGTGCCAGCACGAGACAAGTTTTAAGATGAAGCGAGATCCTATTATGGTGCCCCCTTTGGTTGCCCCTAATTTATAGTCTTTAATTTTCTTTACCACTGAGGCACCCCCCTAGGACTTAGCGCCTGGAGCGGCTGCTCCGTTTGCCCTGTGGTAGGGCCGGCTCTGTCTATTATCATATACAGTGGTCACCACTTACTGTGATCCCTGGTTAATGTTATCAGCAACTTAATGTAATCCAAACTAGTTTTTCCAAACCAGTTCTATATTCCCTGTGTAAAATCTTGCTGGTTGTGATCAGCTTACCATTTATTATCATCAGATTAAAGTAGGATATTTATAATATTTATAACTGACAAATTAGGATCACATCAGTGCATAACTGGGTGCAGTTGAGAACCGCTGTTCTGTGACTGTTACTCCCAAATAAGATTTTTAGAACATTACAAACTTTAAATAAACAAATAAACATTAGCGTTACCATTGTAATACTATACCTATTTTTATTTATTAAAAACATCATAAATTTATTTATTTTAGCTTTAATTGTAGTTTTATGATTATAGCTTAATTAATGTGTTATTCTATTGATACTGTAGGTCAGGGAATGGCAAACTTTTTGTTAATATGATCAACTTTCATTATATTGAAACTAATAGTGAACTATTGTGAGACAAAAGTGATGTCACTACATATTGTAAGTTTAAGGTAACATCTGTAACAACTGAAAACTTACCAAGATATATACAGTATAAGCAAGTATTCAATTCATGTTTTCTCTCATTCATGATTTAATACTGAAAGCAATTTAATAAAACTTTTTAAAATTTGATAAAAATATAAGCTTTATTTGTTATTTCGAAACAGTATTGTACTAAATTTTTGAGAGTATTAAACACAAGATTATGTTATTAATCAATCACATGGCTTCTTTTCCAATCTTTATTTAATTGATATGGTATTTCTACACGTTTCGGGCTTTTGGCCCTCATCAGTCAACTAAAACAAACAAGTAATATATACAGTATTTAAAATATTATATTTTACAAGTAAATTGCACAAACAATATAAAATACATGTATATAATTCACACGTACCATTAACCACGAAATGGCACTTGTACACCATAAGTTTGCATTTACAAACTAGAAGGATGAGGTGGTTACACGAACATTTTAATTTTCAGTACATCTAGTTAAAATTATAAAGCGATATATAAAAAATACATGAAACTACAGGTATTTAATAAATATTAAGTCTTACTGGGTTATAGTCTTACTGTTAATTATATTCATTCCTCTTATCAAAGGCAACAAATATGTGTTGTTAAGTCCTTTCAGATGTATTTGTTGGCTCATTTACAAATTTAAGAACTTTCTCAGAATTTGTACAGATTTCCTTGGTATAACTTGTTCCACTTTTGGTTGAACTTTTGTTTAGCACTATCAGGTAGTGTTTCTGACTATTCACAACAGTCAGAATTTACATAATCAAATAGGGTAACTATTAAATAGTCAAATGAGCTGAAAAGCCCTCTGGTGGAGTCCAATAAACCTCCAAGAATATAATACTTCTTTTTAAAAATTTTTTTCCTTTTATAATATATTTAATCAATTTTTATTTATGTTTATGCTTAAATTTTTATTTATGCAATTTTTTGAATTAATTATGGCCACACTTTGAATTTTCTGTTATATATATTCCTTTCTTTGTATAAAATTTTTGTGTTATCTTTGTCAATATTGCAATTATTTATGACACAATGATCATGGAAGACTGATTGCAATATATGATATTTCATATCTGCTGAATGTTCTTTTATTCTTGTTTTTAATTTATGCTTTGTTTCTCCAATATAGGTATTTGGATTTTTGCAAGTGCATGGGATTTCATAAACTACATTTTTGATTTCTTTATTTTTGTGAGATTGCTTCTTGTTTCTTTTTTTCACTATTCGAGATTGTAGTTTTTCATATTTGAGTGATAGTTTTATGTTTACTTTCTACATACCAATTAAATAAAGATGGAAAAGAAGCCACGTGATTGATTAATAACACAATCTTATGTTTAATACTCTCAAAAAATATAAGCATTATGAAATTGTAAATAACAAATACCATGGTGATTGATCAAAAATTTTTTTGAGATTAACTGGTTGACCAACCCTTCTACAAACACATGCCCCTGTACACTAACCTGCAAAATGGCAGCTGCTGAATATGTTATCAGACACTTATTATCATCAAAACAGTCTTGAACCAATGTTACCACAATAAACAGTGACTGAAATCTCAAATAGGAATGGGCTTATCCATAATTTCTTAAGTCAAAATTTGTATCATATTCTAGTAAAATCCTACCCAAGTTCCTTAAATAACATTAAAGTGCTATAAATTCCCTATTCACCTATCAAAACAATTTTAAATGAATTCTTCTCCATGTTGAAACCATGTCCTTCTTTAAATTATATTTTGAGACATCATAAAATGTTGATACCAGTATGTATTAATAAATATTGTTAGCCAACATATGAGAGCACTCAGTGGCATAGCGTGGGTGTCAGCTGCCCGGGGCAGAGGAAAATTTCACCACCCCCTTATTTAGGTATCTCAATTTAAAAGACTAAAATTCAGTTTCGTCACAGAATAAGTACAGCTGTCCCTTGATAGTCTGACGTTTTGTAATCTGACATGCTCAGTAGTCCGACGCACCTCCCTTCAAGGTACCCGTCCCCGTTACGTGTCTGCTTGCACAGAAGCATGTCGCAATGTGAATCTCCCCACCCAATTCTTACATGATGACACACATTTCTTGTGTTTTCTGTGAGCAGTTCTGTTCAAACAGTTGGAATAGGAAATATTGTAGGCTACTGCTAGCAAAACAATGCCAAATATGTAATCACTTTCGGTAATCCACGCACTTTTGGTAATCCGACACCCCTTTGGTCCCATACCTGTCGGATTATCAAGGGACAGCTGTAATAAAAAATTCTGTGCTCATTTCAATCAATCCAAATCATAGGTGTGACAAAAATATGAAATAAAATGGTTCAAATTTTTACAAGATATTATTATTATTTATTGTGAAATTTTGCCACCCCCTAAAAGTGCTGCACAGAGCACTTTTAGGGGGTGCCCTGCCGCCCCCACTATGCTATGCCACTGGGAGCACTAGCCCGAAACACGTATTGGCATTTGGAACAATTGGTTTATACATTTAAAGTATATAAGAAAATAAAGTGAATGTAAAAAAGTCCAGTGTTCAGTATCAACACTTCATGGTATCTCAAAATACAATTTTAAATTAAATAAAATGAGATTGTTGCACCTATATAAAATGAACTAATATGAAATGAGAAAACTGAATACAACATAAGCAAATATTAAGTTATCAGACATTTCTTTATTATTACAAAAGTTGCTTCTAGCCCTTAATATAATAATATCAATTAAATTAAAATATCCACAACCGTGAGGCAGATAATAGTGAGGGCTTATCAGACCAAATGATGGGCACAAACGCTCAGAGATTAAAGTAAAAAAAATTTAATAAACACAAAAGGTTACTACATAGTTTTCGTTTTCATACCTATGTAGTAACCTTTTGTGTTTATTAAATTTTTTTCACTTTAATCTCTGAGCGTTTGTGCCCATCATTTGGTCTGATAAGCCCTCACTATTATNGCAAATAATTCATTATCATATATTTTCTATTAACTAACTAACAAATTGAAAAAGTAACCAAAATAAATTGAATAACTTTAATATTAAAAAATGTACATAAAGTTTAATTACCTCAGTTTACATATTTTCTGAGCTGATTCTTCAGAAACTAATAAAAAGTTAGGGTCAAGACGTTTATTTGCTGGCTCTGTTGACAGTCCAAATAACCATCCTAAAGTCAGAAAAATAATTAAATAATGTTAAATTTATAAATCATCACTTAAGATAAATGTAATATTTAATACCTGTATAAGTGGTCACTAAAATTTCATCATAGCCTGGGTTTCCAACTTTTCCACCATTCACAGAAGTTACACTTTCTCCACAATTCTAATCCAAAATATAAAAAGTTTTTAATATAATAACAGATGGCGCCATTTTAAATGTTGCTGAGAAAGTACAGCAACGCATTGCTAGATTTTTTTATATATGTAAGCCTTCTAATATGATAACAGATGGCGCCATTTTAAATGTTGCTGAGAAAGTACAGCAACGCATTGCTAGATTTTTTTATATATGTAAGCCTTCCAACATCATTATTTTTCCAATACAGTAGAGCGTCGATTTTCCGAATCAATTGGGGACTGGGGTTGTCCGGATAACTGATATTTCGGATAACTGATTTACGTACGAAAAAATAGTTTAACGTATCCGATTTCGAAATTTTTTTGTTGCCTGTCGCTTCGCGTTGAATTTTCGTCGATGTTAAGCCTAACAAAGACTATTGTATCGTTAAAAATTATTTTTTTATTTTGTACAAACAAAATAAATATATTGAAAAATATAAAAACAATAAAAAATTATACTTCAGANAATTGATAAATATTTAAAAAAAAAATAAAGTTTTGTAAAAATAAAAAAATAAAATCTAGATCTGTTCACCTAGAATAGATCCAGGTGACAGATATCAACTACAGAACAGTACCATTAGTTCATTTTTGTATACATCATTATGATAGGATTGATTGCCCAAAGTATTAGAGAAAACATACACAAACACTATGAATGAGCTCCAATAAAGTAGATTTTTGTTATTATTTTAAGAAACTAAAATGGTGTTCATTTATTTAAAATATTTTAAATTAAAAAATAGATAGTGTCTGTTTAAGGATGTATTGCAATGTAATTTAATATCTAATATTTGTTTTAAAATTTATTGTCAAAATCATCAGAATAATAATAAATAAAATTTATATATTCATAACATTATATGTATACAGAACAAATGGCCCATAAAATTTTGCTGTAAAATTTTAATATTGTATTAAAACAAAATTTCTGATAACTCATTAATTTAAAGACAAATAATGAAGGACAACAATTTATAAATAGCAAAAATGTCATAAATAAAACTGGAGAGTTAAATATTATATTACTGTTAGTCAGTGGTGTATCCAGGGTTTTGAGAATTTGGATGTTGCTCAAGACAGATTCAAAAGATACCAATGCATGTGCCCCATCAGTTTTTGGACACTATTACTCAATTATCTTAAATTATCTTAGTTAACAACTTAAAATAGATAATTCTTTTATCTTTATCTTTCTGAAATTGTTAAATGGAAAATGGATAAGTGAAAAGTGATTGTAAATTATTGAAATTATGGTATGATTCCAAGAGGAGGAATTGAAAAGGTATAAAATCATTGAGCTGCAATTTAAAAAATTGTAGACCTATAAATTCCCACTGTTATCTGTCTGACCTTCCTTAATCTTGAGAACATCGTTAGATAGATGAAAGTTGAGACCAGATAAGGAAAGCTTAGGAACAAGACGCCCTAATTAACTATATACAAACTTCTGGTCTAGACTGAAAGTCATAATTTTAATTCAAAAATTTTCCCAGAACAAAATTACATAGATGACCGACATTACTCTGTTGTTATCAGAAAATGTATGATGCATAGGAGCAAGACACTACTAATTTCAGTTGGTTAGCATATATTTTAAATTAAATAAATTAAAAATATTGCAAGGATAATAAATTAAAAATATTGCAAAAATTATTGTGACATCATCACAATGCAATCTGGCATTGTGATGATGTCACAATAATTTTTGCTAGTTATATTTCTTATTTTCACTAGAAACAATCAAAATTACAGTTATTTTAAATTCATATGTAATCATCTTTAATCTATGCTCCACACTTTTCCATAAATTTCCAAGAAATATTTAAAATTTTTCTGTTTACATAAGATTACTTTCTGTCATTGAAATCATATGCTGTGAATTATTATATTGAATAGTATGTGACAAAAATTGAGCCACATCTAAAAAAGTGCTACAACTACAAAAATAATAACGTGGGCGAAGGAGTCGTCCCCAGTCATTTATTATAACATTATATACAATAAATATAGTAAATAATGTTATATACATTATTATTATAAATATCATATAGTGTTGTTATAAATAATAATATGGCTAGATAAAATTTGATCAGCATATTTAGAATAATAACTATTTAATCAGGTTGGTAATACAGTAGATGATATTATTAATTGCTATTTTGACAATATTTTGTTTATGTAATTTTTTATTTTGTTTTTTCAGAGCTTCAATCTGTACATTACTGTTGAGAATTTTTTAAATGAGTTTGCTTTTAAGGAGGGTTTCAGTCAAAGTTTAGTTTCAAAAGCTCGGTTCATCTAAAATTTCAGAAATTATTTCCTAATGAAAATTTTTCATAATTATATTCAATATTTCTACTGGAAAAAAATTTTGTGAAAGACTATGTTTGAACTTGAAAGGGATAGACAATTATCTGTTTTGATAAATGATAAGACAGAAGAATTTTAGAAATACTACATTAAAACTATATTATTAGTGAAACCTGTGAATCAACTGCAATAATAATATTTAAATTCAAAGTATTATTTAAAGTTCAAAGTGAACAAAAATGAAATAAAATTATAATAATTAGAGTTCTCTACAGAAGATGACAATTTATATAAACTTTTTGGCACTAAAATGATTCACACTTAGTACAGTAAGAATGGTAATTATAAATCAAATCAATTGTAAATTACAAAAAGTATATAATTACATAAGCATAACGGAACATTGGTTCTTCAGCTTCATCATAACTATAAACTTCTACCATACCATCTCCTCGTCCTATAATAAGATCTTGAATACCATCAGCAGTAATATCATAATTATCCAAACAAAGAATACCTAAATTTGAATAAATGTTTAGATTTAAAAAATTAATTTAATTTTTATAATTTAAATTGATAAATATTTAAAAAAAAAATAAAGTTTTGTAAAAATAAAAAAATAAAATCTAGATCTGTTCACCTAGAATAGATCCAGGTGACAGATATCAACTACAGAACAGTACCATTAGTTCATTTTTGTATACATCATTATGATAGGATTGATTGCCCAAAGTATTAGAGAAAACATACACAAACACTATGAATGAGCTCCAATAAAGTAGATTTTTGTTATTATTTTAAGAAACTAAAATGGTGTTCATTTATTTAAAATATTTTAAATTAAAAAATAGATAGTGTCTGTTTAAGGATGTATTGCAATGTAATTTAATATCTAATATTTGTTTTAAAATTTATTGTCAAAATCATCAGAATAATAATAAANATGCAATTTAAGCATTTCTGTTTCAAATGTTGTTTTTTCCCCCTTGTTTTACTTAATTTATAATTACATCTACAATGATTACAAAATAAAATAAAAGAAACAGGCAAAATGGAATATTTGAGACAATACCTTCTAAACTGCATGTTGGTAAGTGTCATGATTTTAATGGCTACTTTGGACATGAGGGTACAGGTAACCCCTGTATAACACAGCACTTCTATAGTACGGGTTCACTCTAACACAGTTCGAGAATTGGAAACATCCACATATAACACAGTGCTTTTATAGCACGGGTTCACTCTAACACGGTTTGGGAATTGGGTAAACCCTCGTACAACATGAAATGTAATAAAGAGTGCGTTCTTTTATACCTCCACGTAACTACGCATGAGCATTCTAATTGTTTTCATGGCTACTTTGAATGCTCTTTCAACAAATAATCTATTTAATGGTTAAATTTTACAATTGGGACCCTTCTTTTGCCTCTAAAAGCTCATTTTAGAATTATAGATTCCTCCATCACAATACTATTGATAGTGTGGGCGCCACCATCTTTCTTTCACCATCATTCCTAAATGCCTACAAACAGCAGCACACTTGAGTTGCAGAGAACCACTATTAACAAATGCACCCAAAAACTGTTACCAGTTGAAGATGCTCATGCTGAGATCATCATATAGGATGTATAATCCTCTGGTAAAATATTTACTTAAATAATAAATAAGTATTTTACCTATGAAAAAAATGAATAATAAATCTGATTTAAATACAGATTTAACAGCATGTTATTTAATTTTTGGAACCTAATCCCCCTTTTCGTACTAGTTCTTTGTTTCGTATAACACGGATTCACATAACACGGAATTTTTTGGAATGTAACTCCCATGTTATACGGGGGATACCTGTATACTGTAGTATGAACTATATGCTTCTTTGGGTTATCCACATAAAATTATAGTAATTTCAAATCTAATACAAACAGTTGTAATTTTCCAAAATAATTTATCTTGAATTTTTTGTCATCATCTCATATTCAATAATGTTAATCAGTCAATTATTCTAACTATTGATATTTAAACTATTTCTTTACCAACATTAAAAATAATAAATGATACAACATAATTTAATATCAGCTAACAAATGGCAAAGTTAGAAATAATTTTCAATTTTAAACAACTTTTTATCATTATTCCAATATAATTTTTAAATTATATAACATTTTATCTTTAAAACAGAAATATATATAAAAATTAATATAGAATCTAAAATAAAAATAATAATTACTTTTTATCATCAAATGTGTGAGTACGTCGATGAAGTGATAATGGTTTTATTTGATACTGACGGACTTGACAGCATTTAGGTTGTAATCTAGGAGTAATGTAAGCCTGTAATACACCATATTGACCTTCAATAGATCTTATTTTAATTTCCAGTCTTGTAGTATTAGCTTGGCATCGGTATGTTGCTAACAAAAAATTACCATTCTATGTAAACAAAGATACATTATATATATAAATAAATTAAGCACTTTTTATTAATTATGGTGTTTAAAAATTAAAAATTATACTTGCTTCTATATCACACGAACTGTAGCTAACAACTGCTGAATTTCTTTCACTATCCAAAAGATCAACAGGCACATTACTCTAAAAAATAAAATGTATTCTTTTTGTAATTAACAAATTTTATGATTAATTTATATGTACCAGTAGACATTAAATCTAACCTGAATTAAAACATTATCAATTGCTGTTTGAACTTCAAGGGTAAGAAGATATGATGCATCTTCATGATTAAGATTAAATTGATCATTTATTTTGAAGAAAGGCACAGCAGATACTCCCCCAAATTCAGACTGTGCTGCTAATTGATATTTTTCTCTTTCTTTAAGTACACGCTGCTGCAATTCTTCAACTTCTTCCCTGTAATAAATTAACAAAATAAAATAGATTAATAATTAAATATCTAATAGGATAAAAATACTGGTATTAAAAAAAATTTGATATATCTTGTAATTTTGTATGGATAACTCACAGTTTAAAGTCAATTTCAAAGCAGGTGCAGGTTTATAGTGATGCATGTTATTTATCAAACAGATTTTCATTTTTCAAAATGTAATAAGAATATCTTTAAAAAGAAATATTAAAATCTTTTGCATGCTATATACATATTTATCTGTCATTACAATTTTTTCAAAACAAGAGCAAATATTTGCCTTGTTTTTAGTTCTATCCAATTCATTTTCTATGTCAATCTATGCTTTAAATGATGTTATTAGACTTTCATAATTAAACTTGTATCTTAAAAGATAATAAGTTTCTGGTAATTCTCTCTTCTCTATATAATTACTCTCAGAAAACTATTTAGAAACCAATGGTCAATTTTATGTTTTTTAGTTCTCTACAATGTATAAGAGCTAGTATTCAAACTAGTATAATTAAACTTTATTTCTACTTAATTTTTAAAAATTANAAGGTAAGTACATTTTTTATTACTGTTATCAAAATTCTCATCAGATTAACAGATTAAAAAAAAATACCTCAAAATACAATACAATTTAAATAAAAATACAATAAAATACATTTCATCAAACAATCCTTTCATTTTTTTAGTTTTTGCAGCATTCATATTCTGATACCAACTTCAAAGTCTACATTATTTAACCCATAAATTAAACACCTCCATCTTAAAAAATTTATGAGAATAATAAATTTTTTTATATCTAAAAGATATATAATAGGGGTGATCAAACTTTGTCATAACATGAACCACAAATCACCTATTAGAACGTAAAAGTTGCATTTTCTATTGGAATGTTATTTTATATTATATATAGTTAAAATACTATAGTTATCAGCATTCTATGGTAAATATTACTGTTATTTCATTACTGGCTATGTAAACATTCATTTAACTCCTTTGACTTTATGAACATAGCTTTTAATTAACTGTTCAAGGTTAAGTTGCGAGTTATTCTTACAACCTATATTTATATCATACCAAGGAATAGAAAACTTACAAGAAATATTATATATATGTAAGAAGTATGTACCAAGTTTATAAAAAGAAATTGTATAAGTGTACAAAAGCCACAATTTGGCCACTATAGGTATATGATATTTGACATAAAGCATTCATTTCATATCTCATTACATTTTCTAAATTATTTTTAACTTTAAATAACATTATGTTATATAAGTTAAGTTTTAGTATCATTTCCCTTCTTTCTCTCTTCTGTCACCAGTTTATACCTCCACCATCGTCTATCCTCAAAGGTAAAGTGCAAATAAAACTACATTTTTTAAATCAATTATTATTCTATTATGGTTATTTATACGTTTACAACTACAAAATGCATTTTTCAGTGTTTTCCTTACTAAAGTTTTTTTTTCAATGTACTACTGAGCTTTAATTTGAGTGTGCTTTTCATGTTGGAATGAATTATTTGGTTTTACATGTAATCGTATGGGGAAAAATGATTCACCTTACGACATGAAAATGTCGTAAGGTGACCCTTACGACCTTACGATCTCAGTTACGGAATGGATTAATTTCATATCCTGAGGTACCACTGTATATACCATCTTTTGTCTGAGTTTTGTGCATTTCAAAATGAGGTAGAAAATATGACACACCATTGGTAAAAAATGAAACACCAGATTTTATTTACCAGTCATCAGTTTCCATGGAACTTCTTTTTTATTTAAGTTCAGCCTATTAATATTTTTGAAATGTAATGTTTAATATTATATATATATATAATAACACCTAATTTAACTTAATGTTAATACACAGAAAACAGCAGGGCTATTATTTTANTATAGTACGGGTTCACTCTAACACAGTTCGAGAATTGGAAACATCCACATATAACATAGTGCTTTTATAGCATGGGTTCACTCTAACACGGTTTGGGAATTGGGTAAACCCTCGTACAACATGAAATGTAATAAAGAGTGCGTTCTTTTATACCTCCACGTAACTACGCATGAGCATTCTAATTGTTTTCATGGCTACTTTGAATGCTCTTTCAACAAATAATCTATTTAATGGTTAAATTTTACAATTGGGACCCTTCTTTTGCCTCTAAAAGCTCATTTTAGAATTATAGATTCCTCCATCACAATACTATTGATAGTGTGGGCGCCACCATCTTTCTTTCACCATCATTCCTAAATGCCTACAAACAGCAGCACACTTGAGTTGCAGAGAACCACTATTAACAAATGCACCCAAAAACTGTTACCAGTTGAAGATGCTCATGCTGAGATCATCATATAGGATGTATAATCCTCTGGTAAAATATTTACTTAAATAATAAATAAGTATTTTACCTATGAAAAAAATGAATAATAAATCTGATTTAAATACAGATTTAACAGCATGTTATTTAATTTTTGGAACCTAATCCCCCTTTTCGTACTAGTTCTTTGTTTCGTATAACACGGATTCACATAACACGGAATTTTTTGGAATGTAACTCCCATGTTATACGGGGGATACCTGTATACTGTAGTATGAACTATATGCTTCTTTGGGTTATCCACATAAAATTATAGTAATTTCAAATCTAATACAAACAGTTGTAATTTTCCAAAATAATTTATCTTGAATTTTTTGTCATCATCTCATATTCAATAATGTTAATCAGTCAATTATTCTAACTATTGATATTTAAACTATTTCTTTACCAACATTAAAAATAATAAATGATACAACATAATTTAATATCAGCTAACAAATGGCAAAGTTAGAAATAATTTTCAATTTTAAACAATTTTTTATCATTATTCCAATATAATTTTTAAATTATATAACATTTTATCTTTAAAACAAAGATTGTTTTGATATTCTAAATGAAATAAAATTAACAATCACTTTAAATAATATAAATTTTAAATAAATATTCTTGTGATAATGCAAAATTTTTATAATTTTGTTTTTAATATAGAGTAAATTACGTACAGTAAACCTTTTATTTAATGGTGTAACTGAGGATAGGGTGGGTCTGTTATAGCCAAAAATTCATTAAATTGAATGTGTTTTAAAACATATGTTAATAACAAATTTTAAATTACTCAGTGACTCTTTAATTCAACATTTTAGCATGCTTCATTCAGGAATACAAAGGTTTTATATTTTTCCTATCAAACAGAAACTGAGATCTGTGAAATTAAAGGTTACTGCATTATGTTTGATGTTTATTAATCATATTATGAATATATATGTTTAAATTCTTTTCTCATTGTCCAGCTACATACAAGAAGGAATCATTTCAAGTTTTGACTACATAAACATATACAAAATATTGCATTAAAATCAATTTCAGTTTTAAAATAAGAATATAATAAAATTATATCATATCATAGAATTAAAAAAATATGAAATTAGAAAATAAGAGTTCAAATTTTGTTGTTATAAAATTTATTATTCAAATTACTTTATGTTGTGTAAATGTTAATCACTAAACTAATAAACATTTATCATTGTTGATATATGAAGATAACAATGAGTTATTTAATTAATGTTATTTTCCATTTATTTATAATGTATTTTCTTGTACATTAAAAATTATTAAAATATGTTATTTTAATAATTTTTAATGTACTACAATATTTGTATATATTGAAAAGTTACGATAATATGTAGTTGTGTCACAAATGTTATGATTTATTACTTGATCTTATCAAATTATTGAAGGAAATAAAATCGCTGAAACTGCTTAATTGCTAAGTAAATAAAATGAGGATGTCATCAGATCTAAACTTTTCCATTTAACCTTTAAATTAATTGATAATTTTAATTCATAAAAATATTTATTTTATAGAATATACTCAAGTTATATAAGCAATTCATAAAATTTTTATTTTAACTTTATTAATCTAATGATAAAATAAAATAAACTGTTCCAAAATTTATGAATGAAATTATTTCAAACCTTAGCAAAAACAATCTATGATCAAGTTTTTAATTATCTTAAAATACAAGTTGTAACTTTTAAGCATTTTTGATTATTAAATCCAAAATGTGTATCAGACTTTTTCAATCAAAAAACAATATTTAAAAATAATGCATTATTTTATTAATTTCTGCTGTTATCAATTATTAATCTAACTTTAATTCTTTAATCTTTTCTATTAAAAATATTTTTATTCTACCAGCCAAGATAGTTTATTAAAAAATTAAATGTTTTCAAACAAACTTTAGTTGTGAAAATTTTCAATTTATATAAACAAACAATCTATTTGAATATATATATTCCATCAAATAACATATCAGCTATAGTTTATTGAAATTGAATGCCAAGTAGTTAAAATAATTTATTAAGAATTTAAATTTTTTCTAACTACAAAAATAAGGCTGTAATTACTTTATTATTGATTTACATGTGTGAATTTTGTAAAAAACTAAATACAGTAACTAATATAATTTAACTATCAATCACATTCAATTTTCAAAATTGAAATGAATTATTTTCTAAAATAAATGAAGTAATATTTAAAAATATTATTTTCTAGATTATTATTTTATTTATAGGATAACCACAAAACAAAAATTCACTTTTAAACTGATCAATCCAAAGAATATAATTATTACTTATTGCTGGTGTTGCTAGTGATAAATCTGTCCAAATCTATGAAGAAATAAATTTATAGGAATTGTCTAATCATGATGATAGTCACTAAAAAGAAATTAGTCTGAAATTTGTTTTATAATTCTTTTATTTTTTATACATAATCTATATCCATTTAAGTTTTAAGTTTAATAGACTAGATATTTATACAAAGAACATATTGCAATATACTATAATATAATTATTGCATCAGAAAAACCATCTCTGATTTTAAACAATTTTGACAGCATCTCTTCTTTTTAGTTAAAAATTTTTATTAATTAATTACTGTTATTAAGATTATAGTAGAGGAAATTAAATTTAACAATAGTAACTTTAATATACTTTTATACTATTTAGACTAAGGAAAATTTCTGGACTTTTTTATCAGTAATATATACAGGTTATTAAGGAAAATTAAAGATTATATAATTATTTACAAATTTTACTTTACTTTTAAAAATTATAATAAAGATTATCTAAATTAACTAAGCCTGCTCTTTATCATTTATTATTTGATTTTATATGGTTTAAAAACCATGTATTACAAATTTTATCAATTTAAAAATAAAGAACACACTAAAATTTAAACACTTTTTTCAAAGTTAAAAATTACTTGCTTGCAGCTTGTTTTTGAAAATAATAAAATTATTTTTGTTATATATTTAATCTAACAAGGGGAGGTTATGACTTGGTCTTCAAGAATTTCAACAATACTGTGTGTGGATAAGCCTGGGAAAAACATTTATTGAACAAAGAGAAAGAGTGGCTTCTCAAACATTTTCAAGAAAATCAAAGTTAAAAAATTCGTTGAAGACTGTGTGCTTGATAGTAGCATGCCATACTCATATTTTGAAATCTATGGTTTGCATCTCAATAAATGAACTTTTCTCAACTCAATGCAATTTTTCATAAATAATTACAAATTTTACAGGTTTATACATTTTATCTATTTATTTTCTATTAAAAATGTGTATTTTATCTTCTTTGAAAATTCCTTTTTCGAAAAAGAATAAATTTAAAGCTCTTTGTTTTATTAGCTATGAAAATGAAATATACTTAGGATATAAACAATAAGAAACCAGAGAAATGATATTGAAAAATAAGTAGTTTTTTTTACAGTATTTGTATTTACAATAATTAAAACCCATGTAATTTACAATTATTTTATGTAAAAATTGCACTGAGTTGAAAAAACACTTGCTCAAAGAGTCCATAAAACTTATTCATAAGACACTCAGACTTTTTTAACTTTGCATTTTCTCCCTCTGTTCAATAAAGGTTCATACCAACATTCATCCACACACACAGTATTATTGTATTCCCTGAGGACCATTTCCTCATTTCCCTTGCAAAACTGTATTAATACTAAAAATCAAACGTGAGTTTTAGAATATAAAAACATATTCATGTTATATAAAACTTACGTAAATTATTTAATAGGAGAAATCTATCAGCTATTCATGCAATAAAATAATCCTACATGCATTTATTAAAAGTATATATTATTAATACAATGTACAAGAAAAGTTTTATTCATAAAAAGTTATATAAATTTACTTATATATTATAACTGTAAAATATAATGATTAATTTACACAAATTTTTATAAAAATTAATTATATTTAAAAACATCATTAAACATCAAAAATGAAATATTTTACTTAAAATATTTAATAATTATATTATATCTTATTTCATAACTTAGTCTAATAATAAAGAAATGTTAGAAAAATAAATGCATACATTAGAAGAGCCTTATTTAATGGTATAGCAGACAGTGCAGTGTAAGAAATAATATATGCAGAATATTCTCAAGTAGTCTATCCAAACAAACCTGTGAAAGGAAAATTGTGCTAGTGCAAAAAATAAGCTTAGAAAAAATCATCATAAAGATATAATTTTTAATTAATCAAAATTTTGTAGGCAATCAATGGCCCATCTTTATTATGCAGATATGTAAATCTTCAAATATTTATTGTCAAGAATATAAAAATACAGTACACCGTCGATTATCCAAAACATTGGTTAACCGAAAGCTTTCCAGTTGGACTGCGTCATGCTGAGTCGAACATTTTTGATACTAGATTAACTTCTAAAATATAAATTTTTTTTTGTTTTTATATTTTTTAATATATTTATTTTGTTTGTACAAAACAAAGAAATAATTTTTAATGATACAATAGCCACAATTATTATTATAAAAATTTTCATTAGGCTTAACACCGATGAAAATTCAATGCAAAGCAACACACAACAGAGAAAAATTTAAACATGGGATATATTAATATACTATTATTGGGATATACTAATATACTATATTAATAATGTATTTTTTCATACCTAACCGGTTATCTGAAAAATTGATTTTCCAAACAATTGATTTGGATAATCAATTGATTATCCCAGTCCCCAATTGATTCAGATAATCAACACTACTGTATTTAAAATTATAATTTAATTTTCCTGTAGAAAACAAAAAACTTTATACTTTAAATTTATAAACAGTTATTAAACATATATAACATATTAAAGATATCCATATAATCATATTTACATAAATATATATATATAGATTTTTATTATACATGCAATATAATACTAAGACTATTTATACAATAGGCTTAGTATAAAAACTTACAAGATTATTTTATATATTAGATAATCTTACTTATAAGATTATTATATTAAAATTAATTTTGACTCTTAAAAGAAAAATAATGCTTTCTTTTAAATTTTAAAAAAGATAATGATAATTTTTACAAATAATTATTATAAATCTTTAAGAAGTTAAATAGTTGAGGTAGAGTAGAAATAATAATAGCATTAAAACTATTATTTAACTCTGCAATCCTTTCTCCTTTCTTTTAAATCAACTAGCCTAGCCGACAACTAGATTGCAGATAACATGTTAAAATCTGTCAAAATACGAAAAATATTTATAGATTAATTAATAGATTTTTACATATTATCTGCATAGCTATCTTATATTAATATGATCTCAATGAAAAAACTAATTATTATAAAATAATTCAAAAAGTTAGCAATGGCTCTTGTACAAATTTCCTGGGACTCAAATAGAAAGTTACGGAAACCAAGAAAGAAAATTAATCATTTTCAAATACACAGAGTACTATAATATAAAATTTAAATAGTATAAAAGTTTAAAAGAAGTAATTTTGTTAAATTATGAGAAATTTCTCTATTCAAAAAAAAATATATTTAAGTTTAATAAAAGTGTATGTGGCATCAACTGTTATAAGATTTCATTAAAAAATAACTTTTTTATAATACTAATTATTATAAATGGCAAAAACCTTATTTTTTGAGTAGGAGTGAGTTTTTAAAAAAATTGTAAATGCCAAGAAAATTTTTACTAAATCTGATCCCAATTGAGATATGATTAGTTAGCAAGGGCTCTTGTACAGTACAAATTCAATGACTCTTGTTACCACTCTCAATCTCCAAAATGTAACAACATTAATTCTCATATATAGAAATAGTTCTGCCAAATTTCAAAATTTTTGCTCCATGATATAATGGAAATTAGATGACGACACAATTTTATAAAGATTTTTTTTTACATTTTTTTGCTCATGGAGTGTCAAAATGTGAAAAAATTAAAAAAAAAACAGGAAATCAAAATTTGACTTATCACTATAATTTCCCTCTGTTACTTTAACAGCTGGGAAAGTAAAAATGTTATTGTATTGTAGGTTTGTTACCATAAATTTTTCTCATTTAAATGCAGTAAATAATTTTCTTTTTATTATTAAAATTATGATTAACATTTCTAAGAGTGAAATACAGTAAGCAAGCATGAAATATCATGCAGTAAGGTTCTATTAATAATTTGTTCTGATTAACTTACATAGTATTAAATAACAAGAAGTTTATCAATGTAAATGTTTGAAATAAAGCTACAAAATTTTAAATATATTTTTATAAAAAATTTTATATAAAGTAAAAAACTATACAGTTTTAATTACTACTAATGTAAAGCAATCAACTCATAAAATATGCCATAGATATTTAATTATCTTTAATTTTTTCAAAAAACAAATTTAGTAAAAAAAAAATAGTAAGTATTTTAATTTATTTAATATTTTCAATTTCAAAACAATTAAAATATTAAATTGAAGCAAATAATTCATTATCATATATTTTCTATTAACTAACTAACAAATTGAAAAAGTAACCAAAATAAATTGAATAACTTTAATATTAAAAAATGTACATAAAGTTTAATTACCTCAGTTTACATATTTTCTGAGCTGATTCTTCAGAAACTAATAAAAAGTTAGGGTCAAGACGTTTATTTGCTGGCTCTGTTGACAGTCCAAATAACCATCCTAAAGTCAGAAAAATAATTAAATAATGTTAAATTTATAAATCATCACTTAAGATAAATGTAATATTTAATACCTGTATAAGTGGTCACTAAAATTTCATCATAGCCTGGGTTTCCAACTTTTCCACCATTCACAGAAGTTACACTTTCTCCACAATTCTAATCCAAAATATAAAAAGTTTTTAATATATAATTGATTTAAAATAGCATATTAATTAACAGGCAATATGCATTTTTTCAATTTGTATTCATTTCAAACTTATTATAATTTTAGTCTTTATCACAAAACAGAATATGAATAATCATAAATAACCTCTCACAAATATTACTAAGATTAAAGCAAGATACAAATAATAATATAATATACATTAATAATAATATATTATAATATAATATGTTATAATATNGATAAGACAGAAGAATTTTAGAAATACTACATTAAAACTATATTATTAGTGAAACCTGTGAATCAACTGCAATAATAATATTTAAATTCAAAGTATTATTTAAAGTTCAAAGTGAACAAAAATGAAATAAAATTATAATAATTAGAGTTCTCTACAGAAGATGACAATTTATATAAACTTTTTGGCACTAAAATGATTCACACTTAGTACAGTAAGAATGGTAATTATAAATCAAATCAATTGTAAATTACAAAAAGTATATAATTACATAAGCATAACGGAACATTGGTTCTTCAGCTTCATCATAACTATAAACTTCTACCATACCATCTCCTCGTCCTATAATAAGATCTTGAATACCATCAGCAGTAATATCATAATTATCCAAACAAAGAATACCTAAATTTGAATAAATGTTTAGATTTAAAAAATTAATTTAATTTTTATAATTTAAATTGATAAATATTTAAAAAAAAAATAAAGTTTTGTAAAAATAAAAAAATAAAATCTAGATCTGTTCACCTAGAATAGATCCAGGTGACAGATATCAACTACAGAACAGTACCATTAGTTCATTTTTGTATACATCATTATGATAGGATTGATTGCCCAAAGTATTAGAGAAAACATACACAAACACTATGAATGAGCTCCAATAAAGTAGATTTTTGTTATTATTTTAAGAAAACTAAAATGGTGTTCATTTATTTAAAATATTTTAAATTAAAAAATAGATAGTGTCTGTTTAAGGATGTATTGCAATGTAATTTAATATCTAATATTTGTTTTAAAATTTATTGTCAAAATCATCAGAATAATAATAAATAAAATTTATATATTCATAACATTATATGTATACAGAACAAATGGCCCATAAAATTTTGCTGTAAAATTTTAATATTGTATTAAAACAAAATTTCTGATAACTCATTAATTTAAAGACAAATAATGAAGGACAACAATTTATAAATAGCAAAAATGTCATAAATAAAACTGGAGAGTTAAATATTATATTACTGTTAGTCAGTGGTGTATCCAGGGTTTTGAGAATTTGGATGTTGCTCAAGACAGATTCAAAAGATACCAATGCATGTGCCCCATCAGTTTTTGGACACTATTACTCAATTATCTTAAATTATCTTAGTTAACAACTTAAAATAGATAATTCTTTTATCTTTATCTTTCTGAAATTGTTAAATGGAAAATGGATAAGTGAAAAGTGATTGTAAATTATTGAAATTATGGTATGATTCCAAGAGGAGGAATTGAAAAGGTATAAAATCATTGAGCTGCAATTTAAAAAATTGTAGACCTATAAATTCCCACTGTTATCTGTCTGACCTTCCTTAATCTTGAGAACATCGTTAGATAGATGAAAGTTGAGACCAGATAAGGAAAGCTTAGGAACAAGACGCCCTAATTAACTATATACAAACTTCTGGTCTAGACTGAAAGTCATAATTTTAATTCAAAAATTTTCCCAGAACAAAATTACATAGATGACCGACATTACTCTGTTGTTATCAGAAAATGTATGATGCATAGGAGCAAGACACTACTAATTTCAGTTGGTTAGCATATATTTTAAATTAAATAAATTAAAAATATTGCAAGGATAATAAATTAAAAATATTGCAAAAATTATTGTGACATCATCACAATGCAATCTGGCATTGTGATGATGTCACAATAATTTTTGCTAGTTATATTTCTTATTTTCACTAGAAACAATCAAAATTACAGTTATTTTAAATTCATATGTAATCATCTTTAATCTATGCTCCACACTTTTCCATAAATTTCCAAGAAATATTTAAAATTTTTCTGTTTACATAAGATTACTTTCTGTCATTGAAATCATATGCTGTGAATTATTATATTGAATAGTATGTGACAAAAATTGAGCCACATCTAAAAAATTGCTACAACTACAAAAATAATAACGTGGGCGAAGGAGTCGNATACAGTAACTAATATAATTTAACTATCAATCACATTCAATTTTCAAAATTGAAATGAATTATTTTCTAAAATAAATGAAGTAATATTTAAAAATATTATTTTCTAGATTATTATTTTATTTATAGGATAACCACAAAACAAAAATTCACTTTTAAACTGATCAATCCAAAGAATATAATTATTACTTATTGCTGGTGTTGCTAGTGATAAATCTGTCCAAATCTATGAAGAAATAAATTTATAGGAATTGTCTAATCATGATGATAGTCACTAAAAAGAAATTAGTCTGAAATTTGTTTTATAATTCTTTTATTTTTTATACATAATCTATATCCATTTAAGTTTTAAGTTTAATAGACTAGATATTTATACAAAGAACATATTGCAATATACTATAATATAATTACTGCATCAGAAAAACCATCTCTGATTTTAAACAATTTTGACAGCATCTCTTCTTTTTAGTTAAAAATTTTTATTAATTAATTACTGTTATTAAGATTATAGTAGAGGAAATTAAATTTAACAATAGTAACTTTAATATACTTTTATACTATTTAGACTAAGGAAAATTTCTGGACTTTTTTATCAGTAATATATACAGGTTATTAAGGAAAATTAAAGATTATATAATTATTTACAAATTTTACTTTACTTTTAAAAATTACAATAAAGATTATCTAAATTAACTAAGCCTGCTCTTTATCATTTATTATTTGATTTTATATGGTTTAAAAACCATGTATTACAAATTTTATCAATTTAAAAATAAAGAACACACTAAAATTTAAACACTTTTTTCAAAGTTAAAAATTACTTGCTTGCAGCTTGTTTTTGAAAATAATAAAATTATTTTTGTTATATATTTAATCTAACAAGGGGAGGTTATGACTTGGTCTTCAAGAATTTCAACAATACTGTGTGTGGATAAGCCTGGGAAAAACATTTATTGAACAAAGAGAAAGAGTGGCTTCTCAAACATTTTCAAGAAAATCAAAGTTAAAAAATTCGTTGAAGACTGTGTGCTTGATAGTAGCATGCCATACTCATATTTTGAAATCTATGGTTTGCATCTCAATAAATGAACTTTTCTCAACTCAATGCAATTTTTCATAAATAATTACAAATTTTACAGGTTTATACATTTTATCTATTTATTTTCTATTAAAAATGTGTATTTTATCTTCTTTGAAAATTCCTTTTTCGAAAAAGAATAAATTTAAAGCTCTTTGTTTTATTAGCTATGAAAATGAAATATACTTAGGATATAAACAATAAGAAACCAGAGAAATGATATTGAAAAATAAGTAGTTTTTTTTACAGTATTTGTATTTACAATAATTAAAACCCATGTAATTTACAATTATTTTATGTAAAAATTGCACTGAGTTGAAAAAACACTTGCTCAAAGAGTCCATAAAACTTATTCATAAGACACTCAGACTTTTTTAACTTTGCATTTTCTCCCTCTGTTCAATAAAGGTTCATACCAACATTCATCCACACACACAGTATTATTGTATTCCCTGAGGACCATTTCCTCATTTCCCTTGCAAAACTGTATTAATACTAAAAATCAAACGTGAGTTTTAGAATATAAAAACATATTCATGTTATATAAAACTTACGTAAATTATTTAATAGGAGAAATCTATCAGCTATTCATGCAATAAAATAATCCTACATGCATTTATTAAAAGTATATATTATTAATACAATGTACAAGAAAAGTTTTATTCATAAAAAGTTATATAAATTTACTTATATATTATAACTGTAAAATATAATGATTAATTTACACAAATTTTTATAAAAATTAATTATATTTAAAAACATCATTAAACATCAAAAATGAAATATTTTACTTAAAATATTTAATAATTATATTATATCTTATTTCATAACTTAGTCTAATAATAAAGAAATGTTAGAAAAATAAATGCATACATTAGAAGAGCCTTATTTAATGGTATAGCAGACAGTGCAGTGTAAGAAATAATATATGCAGAATATTCTCAAGTAGTCTATCCAAACAAACCTGTGAAAGGAAAATTGTGCTAGTGCAAAAAATAAGCTTAGAAAAAATCATCATAAAGATATAATTTTTAATTAATCAAAATTTTGTAGGCAATCAATGGCCCATCTTTATTATGCAGATATGTAAATCTTCAAATATTTATTGTCAAGAATATAAAAATACAGTACACCGTCGATTATCCAAAACATTGGTTAACCGAAAGCTTTCCAGTTGGACTGCGTCATGCTGAGTCGAACATTTTTGATACTAGATTAACTTCTAAAATATAAATTTTTTTTTGTTTTTATATTTTTTAATATATTTATTTTGTTTGTACAAAACAAAGAAATAATTTTTAATGATACAATAGCCACAATTATTATTATAAAAATTTTCATTAGGCTTAACACCGATGAAAATTCAATGCAAAGCAACACACAACAGAGAAAAATTTAAACATGGGATATATTAATATACTATTATTGGGATATACTAATATACTATATTAATAATGTATTTTTTCATACCTAACCGGTTATCTGAAAAATTGATTTTCCAAACAATTGATTTGGATAATCAATTGATTATCCCAGTCCCCAATTGATTCAGATAATCAACACTACTGTATTTAAAATTATAATTTAATTTTCCTGTAGAAAACAAAAAACTTTATACTTTAAATTTATAAACAGTTATTAAACATATATAACATATTAAAGATATCCATATAATCATATTTACATAAATATATATATATAGATTTTTATTATACATGCAATATAATACTAAGACTATTTATACAATAGGCTTAGTATAAAAACTTACAAGATTATTTTATATATTAGATAATCTTACTTATAAGATTATTATATTAAAATTAATTTTGACTCTTAAAAGAAAAATAATGCTTTCTTTTAAATTTTAAAAAAGATAATGATAATTTTTACAAATAATTATTATAAATCTTTAAGAAGTTAAATAGTTGAGGTAGAGTAGAAATAATAATAGCATTAAAACTATTATTTAACTCTGCAATCCTTTCTCCTTTCTTTTAAATCAACTAGCCTAGCCGACAACTAGATTGCAGATAACATGTTAAAATCTGTCAAAATACGAAAAATATTTATAGATTAATTAATAGATTTTTACATATTATCTGCATAGCTATCTTATATTAATATGATCTCAATGAAAAAACTAATTATTATAAAATAATTCAAAAAGTTAGCAATGGCTCTTGTACAAATTTCCTGGGACTCAAATAGAAAGTTACGGAAACCAAGAAAGAAAATTAATCATTTTCAAATACACAGAGTACTATAATATAAAATTTAAATAGTATAAAAGTTTAAAAGAAGTAATTTTGTTAAATTATGAGAAATTTCTCTATTCAAAAAAAAATATATTTAAGTTTAATAAAAGTGTATGTGGCATCAACTGTTATAAGATTTCATTAAAAAATAACTTTTTTATAATACTAATTATTATAAATGGCAAAAACCTTATTTTTTGAGTAGGAGTGAGTTTTTAAAAAAATTGTAAATGCCAAGAAAATTTTTACTAAATCTGATCCCAATTGAGATATGATTAGTTAGCAAGGGCTCTTGTACAGTACAAATTCAATGACTCTTGTTACCACTCTCAATCTCCAAAATGTAACAACATTAATTCTCATATATAGAAATAGTTCTGCCAAATTTCAAAATTTTTGCTCCATGATATAATGGAAATTAGATGACGACACAATTTTATAAAGATTTTTTTTTACATTTTTTTGCTCATGGAGTGTCAAAATGTGAAAAAATTAAAAAAAAAACAGGAAATCAAAATTTGACTTATCACTATAATTTCCCTCTGTTACTTTAACAGCTGGGAAAGTAAAAATGTTATTGTATTGTAGGTTTGTTACCATAAATTTTTCTCATTTAAATGCAGTAAATAATTTTCTTTTTATTATTAAAATTATGATTAACATTTCTAAGAGTGAAATACAGTAAGCAAGCATGAAATATCATGCAGTAAGGTTCTATTAATAATTTGTTCTGATTAACTTACATAGTATTAAATAACAAGAAGTTTATCAATGTAAATGTTTGAAATAAAGCTACAAAATTTTAAATATATTTTTATAAAAAATTTTATATAAAGTAAAAAACTATACAGTTTTAATTACTACTAATGTAAAGCAATCAACTCATAAAATATGCCATAGATATTTAATTATCTTTAATTTTTTCAAAAAACAAATTTAGTAAAAAAAAAATAGTAAGTATTTTAATTTATTTAATATTTTCAATTTCAAAACAATTAAAATATTAAATTGAAGCAAATAATTCATTATCATATATTTTCTATTAACTAACTAACAAATTGAAAAAGTAACCAAAATAAATTGAATAACTTTAATATTAAAAAATGTACATAAAGTTTAATTACCTCAGTTTACATATTTTCTGAGCTGATTCTTCAGAAACTAATAAAAAGTTAGGGTCAAGACGTTTATTTGCTGGCTCTGTTGACAGTCCAAATAACCATCCTAAAGTCAGAAAAATAATTAAATAATGTTAAATTTATAAATCATCACTTAAGATAAATGTAATATTTAATACCTGTATAAGTGGTCACTAAAATTTCATCATAGCCTGGGTTTCCAACTTTTCCACCATTCACAGAAGTTACACTTTCTCCACAATTCTAATCCAAAATATAAAAAGTTTTTAATATATAATTGATTTAAAATAGCATATTAATTAACAGGCAATATGCATTTTTTCAATTTGTATTCATTTCAAACTTATTATAATTTTAGTCTTTATCACAAAACAGAATATGAATAATCATAAATAACCTCTCACAAATATTACTAAGATTAAAGCAAGATACAAATAATAATATAATATACATTAATAATAATATATTATAATATAATATGTTATAATATNATGAAATAAAATTATAATAATTAGAGTTCTCTACAGAAGATGACAATTTATATAAACTTTTTGGCACTAAAATGATTCACACTTAGTACAGTAAGAATGGTAATTATAAATCAAATCAATTGTAAATTACAAAAAGTATATAATTACATAAGCATAACGGAACATTGGTTCTTCAGCTTCATCATAACTATAAACTTCTACCATACCATCTCCTCGTCCTATAATAAGATCTTGAATACCATCAGCAGTAATATCATAATTATCCAAACAAAGAATACCTAAATTTGAATAAATGTTTAGATTTAAAAAATTAATTTAATTTTTATAATTTAAATTGATAAATATTTAAAAAAAAAATAAAGTTTTGTAAAAATAAAAAAATAAAATCTAGATCTGTTCACCTAGAATAGATCCAGGTGACAGATATCAACTACAGAACAGTACCATTAGTTCATTTTTGTATACATCATTATGATAGGATTGATTGCCCAAAGTATTAGAGAAAACATACACAAACACTATGAATGAGCTCCAATAAAGTAGATTTTTGTTATTATTTTAAGAAACTAAAATGGTGTTCATTTATTTAAAATATTTTAAATTAAAAAATAGATAGTGTCTGTTTAAGGATGTATTGCAATGTAATTTAATATCTAATATTTGTTTTAAAATTTATTGTCAAAATCATCAGAATAATAATAAATAAAATTTATATATTCATAACATTATATGTATACAGAACAAATGGCCCATAAAATTTTGCTGTAAAATTTTAATATTGTATTAAAACAAAATTTCTGATAACTCATTAATTTAAAGACAAATAATGAAGGACAACAATTTATAAATAGCAAAAATGTCATAAATAAAACTGGAGAGTTAAATATTATATTACTGTTAGTCAGTGGTGTATCCAGGGTTTTGAGAATTTGGATGTTGCTCAAGACAGATTCAAAAGATACCAATGCATGTGCCCCATCAGTTTTTGGACACTATTACTCAATTATCTTAAATTATCTTAGTTAACAACTTAAAATAGATAATTCTTTTATCTTTATCTTTCTGAAATTGTTAAATGGAAAATGGATAAGTGAAAAGTGATTGTAAATTATTGAAATTATGGTATGATTCCAAGAGGAGGAATTGAAAAGGTATAAAATCATTGAGCTGCAATTTAAAAAATTGTAGACCTATAAATTCCCACTGTTATCTGTCTGACCTTCCTTAATCTTGAGAACATCGTTAGATAGATGAAAGTTGAGACCAGATAAGGAAAGCTTAGGAACAAGACGCCCTAATTAACTATATACAAACTTCTGGTCTAGACTGAAAGTCATAATTTTAATTCAAAAATTTTCCCAGAACAAAATTACATAGATGACCGACATTACTCTGTTGTTATCAGAAAATGTATGATGCATAGGAGCAAGACACTACTAATTTCAGTTGGTTAGCATATATTTTAAATTAAATAAATTAAAAATATTGCAAGGATAATAAATTAAAAATATTGCAAAAATTATTGTGACATCATCACAATGCAATCTGGCATTGTGATGATGTCACAATAATTTTTGCTAGTTATATTTCTTATTTTCACTAGAAACAATCAAAATTACAGTTATTTTAAATTCATATGTAATCATCTTTAATCTATGCTCCACACTTTTCCATAAATTTCCAAGAAATATTTAAAATTTTTCTGTTTACATAAGATTACTTTCTGTCATTGAAATCATATGCTGTGAATTATTATATTGAATAGTATGTGACAAAAATTGAGCCACATCTAAAAAATTGCTACAACTACAAAAATAATAACAACAAGGATTTTGCAGAATTTAATTTTAAAATAAAAAAATAGAAAATTTATTTTCACAAAATTAAAACAATGCAGTCTTACAAATTGCAAATAACAACAAAAAATTATCAAACTGAACATGACAGAAAATTAATTGCAAAACCAATTTTCAGTTTTAAAGTTCTAATAAAACGGTTCCTAACCTTTCTCAGGCAATGGAACATCATTCATATACTTTATGTATAGAGCATTAGCATCAATACATATTCTTTAAATTTGTTTCTTAAGTTAGCTAATTTAAATAACAAATTCAAAGAATATATATTTACTAAACAAATAAATTAGAAAAATCTGGTGTTGTATTTAAAATGTAATGTACATGTACAGATAAAGTCCATTATAGTAGAGAAACTGGGAGATTATTAGAAAATAAAATAAAAGAACATGAGGTATCAATCAGGTTAAAAAAACACTCAATCACCGTGATTTATACATTGTAGTGAAAATAACTGTACAATTAATAAAAATAATATTAAAGTTTTGTTTCTAGAAAATGGCATATATCTACAAAATTTAATGAACATAAAGCAATTAAAAATAACAATAATTTAACTAATAATAGATGACATATGAAATGATGTCATATATAAGAATAAAAGTATGTTATGCAATGCAGGTTGATTGTTACTGTGATTGATTTTGAAGTGTCAAAAATATTGGTATAGGCTCTGTTGCAGATTGTACCTTTGTGATTAATTTATTTTAATATTTATATCTTTGTTAAAAATTTAAACTGTAAATTACAAAGCAATTTTATTGTATATAGACTGAAGAGAGATCAGTGAGAATTCTGATCCAAAATGCATTTTAATAAATTGCAATTAATAAAATATCTGAGAATTAATCATCTGAATAATTCTTAAACTCAGGTGAATGTTGGATTCAAAGGACATAATATTTCAGTTTATTTGTCCAAAAAACCCCCTTTTAAGTGGTCATAAAAGCAAATTTATTAATTAATTCAAAACCCAGTATACATTTTGGCCCTTNGATTTAGCTATAAATTTTTTTATCTTTATTTTTACATTTGCATTGACCAAAAAAAAGAAAAAAAGAAAAAAGATAAAAAGGAAAATCGTTGGTGAAGATGGAGATTTTCGTTGCGAAATCCTTCAACAAATAGATTTTTATATATTGAAAAATGTTTATTTGCCTCAGAAAAACCATAAAAAATTTCAAAACACGAAAACAAAAATCCATTTTGCAATTTTCGTTTCGTTTCTTTTCTTTTTCCTCCCAAAATCTTTATTCATTTCCGAAAAATTTTCGAATTTCTACGGAATTTATCATTACGAGAAATGTCTCTTAACTATTTACAATTATGTTATTATTATTTAATAAAATAAGAAACATCATCATCAAATTTATATAAAGTAAGCTTTTGGTGCACGAAAATTACACGAAAATATTGAAACTAAATTCATTACTGATGAAATAAAAACTTATTTTCTGATTTTTCAGATTTATTTAAACTTTATAAGCAGGTTTTAGTATAAAAATATACTTTTTAATCTTAAATATTAATATTTTGTTGATTTGTTTATTTTAATATAATCAAATTTCTAATTCTTTTTGATGTATACTCTACACATTACACCAAACATCTTTGTTAAAAATAGATATATCTGCTTAAATTCATAACTAAATATGTATATTTTTTCCTATTAAAAGTGAGAATATTTCTTTACTTTTTATTTTTAAAAGCTCTCTTATGTCTGTTGCTTAATATAGAACATAAATAAAGGATTAAATGATATGAAGTATACGCGCGAGATTGAAATATAGAGAACACAGGTAAAACGTGTGATGTATGTTTTATAATGCAGATAATTAAAAAAATATGAAATTAGAAAATAAGAGTTCAAATTTTGTTGTTATAAAATTTATTATTCAAATTACTTTATGTTGTGTAAATGTTAATCACTAAACTAATAAACATTTATCATTGTTGATATATGAAGATAACAATGAGTTATTTAATTAATGTTATTTTCCATTTATTTATAATGTATTTTCTTGTGCTATAATATGTTATTTTAATAATTTTTAATGTACTACAATATTTGTATATATTGAAAAGTTACGATAATATGTAGTTGTGTCACAAATGTTATGATTTATTACTTGATCTTATCAAATTATTGAAGGAAATAAAATCGCTGAAACTGCTTAATTGCTAAGTAAATAAAATGAGGATGTCATCAGATCTAAACTTTTCCATTTAACCTTTAAATTAATTGATAATTTTAATTCATAAAAATATTTATTTTATAGAATATACTCAAGTTATATAAGCAATTCATAAAATTTTTATTTTAACTTTATTAATCTAATGATAAAATAAAATAAACTGTTCCAAAATTTATGAATGAAATTATTTCAAACCTTAGCAAAAACAATCTATGATCAAGTTTTTAATTATCTTAAAATACAAGTTGTAACTTTTAAGCATTTTTGATTATTAAATCCAAAATGTGTATCAGACTTTTTCAATCAAAAAACAATATTTAAAAATAATGCATTATTTTATTAATTTCTGCTGTTATCAATTATTAATCTAACTTTAATTCTTTAATCTTTTCTATTAAAAATATTTTTATTCTACCAGCCAAGATAGTTTATTAAAAAATTAAATGTTTTCAAACAAACTTTAGTTGTGAAAATTTTCAATTTATATAAACAAACAATCTATTTGAATATATATATTCCATCAAATAACATATCAGCTATAGTTTATTGAAATTGAATGCCAAGTAGTTAAAATAATTTATTAAGAATTTAAATTTTTTCTAACTACAAAAATAAGGCTGTAATTACTTTATTATTGATTTACATGTGTGAATTTTGTAAAAAACTAAATACAGTAACTAATATAATTTAACTATCAATCACATTCAATTTTCAAAATTGAAATGAATTATTTTCTAAAATAAATGAAGTAATATTTAAAAATATTATTTTCTAGATTATTANTTATCAACTAAAATAAGTATTCTTCTAATGATTTCATTTTTTTTACAATTAAGCAGGCTACAATATACATAAATTATAAAATTTTTCAGCTATATTCAGTTCAGAAATTTCTTTTTCATGATTAAAATTTATCACCATATTCAATATAAAAGATATAATTAGAGTGTGTGTTTATTTCAACTAAAAATGCTGTTGAATTGGACATCAAAATATATTTTGATTTAAGTTCTGTATCACTTTTTATACTTAATTATTTGATTCCTTACTGTAATATTTCAGCATACACTAATTTTAAAAAATTTATAATCAATCACACATTGTTCTGATTGATTGGTATGATAACAATCCAGAAACAGTATTAAATGCAGTAAGGTTTCTTTCTGTGAGTAGAACATATTGACAAATTTTACTAATTCATTTGCTGATAAAATTAAATTAGATTTAAAAATAAAAAAATAACAGATTAATAAGTTTATAAAATTAAATGTAAAATGAAACACAGTTTATTATAATTCTTCAATGTAAAAATTATAATAAACTATTTTATTTTATATTTAATTTTATAACTTATTAATCTAAATCATTTTTCTCTGGATTCATCATTGTCAAATAACCTTAGATTATTCTTATTATATGTTTTGATAAAGTTTTATCTGTTTGTTACTGTTTCAGTCAACTGATTCATTAAATCAAATGTAAATGGGTAATTCAATAGAAATAGTCATTGAAATCTGTTCATTTGAAAATGACAAATTTTTAGACTAATTTTATTGATTCTTTGCAATCTAGATATCTCTCTCATATTAAAACAATTTTTATCTTCACAATTTCATACATATATATATTTAATTAATAAGAATATAACATTTAATATGCATAAGATAGTATTAAGAATATTAAAAATGTTTAATTCATACTACTGTCAATTTATCAGTAAATTATAAACTTAAAAATACTAATTTTAAAATCTTACTTTTCTGAATTCCTGCAAGAAGCATGGAAGAAATGCAATCATTCAAAATGTAAGTTTTAAAGATTAAATATGTTAAACACTATACTTACCATTCATTTAAGTTTATAAACAAATAATTACACAAATATTGTTATATGTGGAATTTTTAAAATTTATTTTGTCAAAAAGGTAAGATTTTGATTGAAAGTTTTATTTAGTTATCTGTATTCGCTAAAACAGAGAAAACTTTACTTCTGTAATATATTTGGAATAGTATATTTGAATTTTGACAATTTAAAAAACTTACAAAACCATTAAGTGAATGTCTAGTGCAGTATAACTTGCTACAAGATTTGTTTGCTTTGAGGATAGTGTACTCAAGAATATTAGCTGCTACTGATAACTGATAAATGCCAAAATTAAAATTTAAAATGTAAGGAAAATAAATTTAAATTGAACAACAAATCTGAATCTCAAGAACTTAAACAGAAATTTTCACAGTACTCATGCAAAAACTAATAGCATACATTTTTATATTTATAGCATAATGAAAAATTTTTGTTTTATCATCATATATAAATNATTTGATAATTTTTTAAAAAACATTTTAGTTTGTTTATAAGTATACAAGAAATAAATCATAATCTTCTAAACAGATACTCATGGGTAGAAATATATAATTACTGATTACTTGAATAACATCTAAGTACACCTAGAGAACAGTACAAAAATAGTATATTGTCATCTAAGAGGGCATGGTCCATCAGTGGCAAGTGGTTTCCATTCCTGAACATTGGAGTTTGGTCGTGAGTTTGCACTGCACTCAGATGGGCTGGCCACGTGGAGTTTTCTGGGTTTTCTCAATATCTGTAATGCCTAAATAGGGGCCAGTTTCCCCTAAAAATAATTCCTGGAAGGCATCCCCCCTAGGCAGATTGCCCAAGTGTTTCATTGCCATAACTTAACAAACAACAAACTAAAAGAGCATATTGTTTTATCCAGGTTTGCTAATTTAATGTTCTAAATGATCACTTTGATTAAGACTATTTAAGAGTTGTTATATCACTAGCATTATGTTTATGGAAAAATGGCCAAGATTCTATTTCTTAGATTGTACTGCCAAATTAAGAATTGCTATGAAGCAAGTATATTATATATATAAATTTAGTTTACGCAATTTAAAAATAACAAGTTTCCTATAAATAAAAGCAATAAAAATATAAATTAACATTAAAATTTACATTAAATATTTTATATTCTTCATAAATAAAATTATTCAAACCAACCTCCATTCTTTTTACTATTAATGATCTCCCATCTATGATTTGGCAAAACTCTGAAATAAAATATGAGAATTTTCATAATTTTAATATAAAATCATTAATCAAATATTTTCATTTATTCTAAAAATTATTTAAATTTATAATATGTAATGTTTTTTAAATTTATAAAAATTATAAAATTCACTCTGAAAATAAATATTCTTATTCTTTTATTAATCTTTTGAAAATTATCAACTAAAATAAGTATTCTTCTAATGATTTCATTTTTTTTACAATTAAGCAGGCTACAATATACATAAATTATAAAATTTTTCAGCTATATTCAGTTCAGAAATTTCTTTTTCATGATTAAAATTTATCACCATATTCAATATAAAAGATATAATTAGAGAGTGTGTTTATTTCAACTAAAAATGCTGTTGAATTGGACATCAAAATATATTTTGATTTAAGTTCTGTATCACTTTTTATACTTAATTATTTGATTCCTTACTGTAATATTTCAGCATACACTAATTTTAAAAAATTTATAATCAATCACACATTGTTCTGATTGATTGGTATGATAACAATCCAGAAACAGTATTAAATGCAGTAAGGTTTCTTTCTGTGAGTAGAACATATTGACAAATTTTACTAATTCATTTGCTGATAAAATTAAATTAGATTTAAAAATAAAAAAATAACAGATTAATAAGTTTATAAAATTAAATGTAAAATGAAACACAGTTTATTATAATTCTTCAATGTAAAAATTATAATAAACTATTTTATTTTATATTTAATTTTATAACTTATTAATCTAAATCATTTTTCTCTGGATTCATCATTGTCAAATAACCTTAGATTATTCTTATTATATGTTTTGATAAAGTTTTATCTGTTTGTTACTGTTTCAGTCAACTGATTCATTAAATCAAATGTAAATGGGTAATTCAATAGAAATAGTCATTGAAATCTGTTCATTTGAAAATGACAAATTTTTAGACTAATTTTATTGATTCTTTGCAATCTAGATATCTCTCTCATATTAAAACAATTTTTATCTTCACAATTTCATACATATATATATTTAATTAATAAGAATATAACATTTAATATGCATAAGATAGTATTAAGAATATTAAAAATGTTTAATTCATACTACTGTCAATTTATCAGTAAATTATAAACTTAAAAATACTAATTTTAAAATCTTACTTTTCTGAATTCCTGCAAGAAGCATGGAAGAAATGCAATCATTCAAAACGTAAGTTTTAAAGATTAAATATGTTAAACACTATACTTACCATTCATTTAAGTTTATAAACAAATAATTACACAAATATTGTTATATGTGGAATTTTTAAAATTTATTTTGTCAGAAAGGTAAGATTTTGATTGAAAGTTTTATTTAGTTATCTGTATTCGCTAAAACAGAGAAAACTTTACTTCTGTAATATATTTGGAATAGTATATTTGAATTTTGACAATTTAAAAAACTTACAAAACCATTAAGTGAATGTCTAGTGCAGTATAACTTGCTACAAGACTTGTTCGCTTTGAGGATAGTGTACTCAAGAATATTAGCTGCTACTGATAACTGATAAATGCCAAAATTAAAATTTAAAATGTAAGGAAAATAAATTTAAATTGAACAACAAATCTGAATCTCAAGAACTTAAACAGAAATTTTCACAGTACTCATGCAAAAACTAATAGCATACATTTTTATATTTATAGCATAATGAAAAATTTTTGTTTTATCATCATATATAAATTTAATAAGAATCCTCATCTGATGTTTTGAAAATGAAGAAGTTCTANATTTCATAACTTAGTCTAATAATAAAGAAATGTTAGAAAAATAAATGCATACATTAGAAGAGCCTTATTTAATGGTATAGCAGACAGTGCAGTGTAAGAAATAATATATGCAGAATATTCTCAAGTAGTCTATCCAAACAAACCTGTGAAAGGAAAATTGTGCTAGTGCAAAAAATAAGCTTAGAAAAAATCATCATAAAGATATAATTTTTAATTAATCAAAATTTTGTAGGCAATCAATGGCCCATCTTTATTATGCAGATATGTAAATCTTCAAATATTTATTGTCAAGAATATAAAAATACAGTACACCGTCGATTATCCAAAACATTGGTTAACCGAAAGCTTTCCAGTTGGACTGCGTCATGCTGAGTCGAACATTTTTGATACTAGATTAACTTCTAAAATATAAATTTTTTTTTGTTTTTATATTTTTTAATATATTTATTTTGTTTGTACAAAACAAAGAAATAATTTTTAATGATACAATAGCCACAATTATTATTATAAAAATTTTCATTAGGCTTAACACCGATGAAAATTCAATGCAAAGCAACACACAACAGAGAAAAATTTAAACATGGGATATATTAATATACTATTATTGGGATATACTAATATACTATATTAATAANGCATACATTTTTATATTTATAGCATAATGAAAAATTTTTGTTTTATCATCATATATAAATTTAATAAGAATCCTCATCTGATGTTTTGAAAATGAAGAAGTTCTAATTCTAGATTTCTCTTGTTGTAAAGACAAGTCTCTGATTAAATTATTTAAGGATTCAACTTATCTTGATTAATTAGATCTGTAAAAAATTAACACACTATAAAGTCTATGGCCTTTAATGAGAAGATTCAACATACAACATGAGAGACAGTGAATGATGCCTTGGCATTCACTGTCTTTCACTGTCAAATTATAGAGTCTGGATCGAGTTCAAACTCAGATCTCCCAAGGCTAGAACTTCTTACTTGCATCTACTTGGTTTATCCCCCAATCTTATCAGAGTTTCTTTCAAGTTTCATGTTCTGTAGTTATATGAATGAAAAGATAATAACAATTAGCAATATTTTTAATTGTTGAATCCATTTGATTCTGATCTGGTTTCTTTTCCTATCTATTCTGGCAAAATGATCAAATTCAGGTAATTTTCTGACGGACACCTTTTAACATGCCCAAATTAGTGTACTTACTTTTTCTTAGATCTTTTTTTCTATTATAGTTTCTGTATAATTTCATTTCTGTCAAATTATTTCATACTGTTTTGTTTCTTTAGACACATTTAATCTCAAAATCTGCAAGTTTCTATGCTTCTTTTTCTTATGTAGCGAAGACTCTAAAACATAGTTGAAATTATAATGACATATAATTTTGTTATTATTCCAAATTTTACTCTCTCTCTCTTAAACATGGATTACATGATTGAGAACTGAATTTGATCATTTTCATAATGTCCAAAGTTATATTAATATTTTAATTTAAACTTGACAAATAAAAATTAAATTATTAAAAACTACAAAGTTATTAGCATTATTAAATATAACATATAACTTGTTACATAGTGTTTTTAAAGAATTTGATATGATCACAAACACTTCATTTAATAAGTCTAATCAAATATATAGTATATACTAACAATATTGAATGTATTTTATTACAAACAAATGAAACAAACCAGAATGACGTTCTCAGATTCATTCAATTGGGAAAGAATCAAGATTGATACTTTTTTATATGTATGTTGGTATAGGTATGAGAAGTTTAGCTCATATATGATAATTTTAAATGGCAGATTTGATAAATTTCATCTTCAAATTTGACAATGTTAATGCCCTTATGTTGGTGGCTAAATCAATTATGGCCAACTCATCAACAGAAGGACTTTACTTTAGAAATGAGTTATGTAATACTTCTACAGTTAGATCAAATTATTGAAAAGTGTTACAGTTTCTCTGCCCAAAAAGAAGAAACATCTGATTCATCACTTAAGAATATACAGACCATATTATATGAATTTTCTAAAAAAAAAAAAAAAAACTGGATGATTCTTTGAGATTTGTGAGATGTTACAAAGATTTGTAATCTTTATAAAATAATAAAATAGGCTGATCGTTTTGCCAATTTACCAGCTTTATAAAATATCACATACAGAGATGAGATAAATACTTCTAATAAACAAAATTTAAGATAAGCCTTGTGTAATATCAATGTTAATAAATAATTTTTTGCTTTTTATGCTGTCAGCATTTTTATTCAAAATTCTACATTTTTCTACCAATGTCCAAGCTAATACTAAAGGTTGACAATTATGAACATATCTACTTATATATGTGGGGTTCAGATGAGCAAAATTCCTAAACCATTAAGACAATAAACAAAGGATTGTGGGGGAGACAAGAAAAACGAGAGAGAGAGAGAGAGAGAGAGAGAGAGAGAGAGAGACAATATGGTGGTCGGACAAATGACATTCCAACACTGTTGAGACAACAGACGAGAGGTTGCAGGGAGATGTGGCAGAACATGCAAGAGACAGAAGTGAGGGAAGATGACAGTTGGTGATGGCATGAAAGGGACAAAAGACAAAAAGATGTTACAAAGGCACAAACATTATTGTTCTATCAAGATGGTTACAAATGCTGGAAGATTATTGTCATTTCTAGTTCTGTGGGTACGTTCCTAAAGTCAAATGAGCTGAACACATTAATAACGAATCAGTCAAATAGTAGTAGTCTTGCTCAGTGCACATGCTCTGCAGTGATGATGTTTTGAATGTTCACGAAGGAAGGAGTTAGTTTACTTCATTAAGAAAATGGCACTTGACGAAATCGATGTTTCTGAATCTACTCCAGTGTTTAAATTGTGAATTAAAAGATGAAATGATATCAATAACAGTCCACCTGAAGCAATCCAATAAAAATATTTCGGATAAGGCTGCACTAGCAACATTCATATCATATCCATACAAAACTACACATCTGTTGGAGCCTGTGTGGTAAATCTTATCTTCAACTTTTCTCACAAATACTATCTCTTCCTCATGTGGTAAAGTACACCAGCACTCCCTTTGAATTTTTAACCCCTCATCATATTCTAAATGTATTATTCGATGTTTCTCTGACTGGCCAGGTGGAGTTTTTCCGGGTTTCCTCCACTTCCTTTTTTCCCAAATAGGGGTCAGCTCCTCTTTAACTTTCACAGACCTCCCGGAAGGCTGTCGCACATACCAACAGTGGTATTGCAACCCCTCACAAAATTCTATTCCAAATTTGTTGGAGCTCTTTATCACTGGATTTCTCACTGTGGCTTCACTTCCTCATCCACTCTGAGACATCCAAAAATAAACTGGTTAGGTCAGGTATGCATACTGCAACTATCCTATTCATCTTTCCCTTCCTCTTGTAAGTTAAATAAACATAACATAAGATATAACATGCAGAATAAAATCTAAGACACAACCCTTACACATAAAATTATGAACCCTCACAAGGGACTAGTCATTATGAGCCTTACTTGGGACTTATATGAACCCACTTAGGGACACTAACCATGCAAACCCTCTTAAACACATAACCTTCTTGGCATCTTTGTGCTCTCTGAGCGGTAAGGGGCCTAAAACCACAAGTAAAAAAAAAAAAAACAAACATACCCTATATTTCTATCACTATTACTCATATATTACATAATTTAAAATGTATATTTTTTGATATCTTTTAAAATATTCATTAAAATTTTTAAATTTTTCTTTTCTTATTATTTAATCATAAAGAATTCAGTTTTAATTCAAATAATTAAACTTAAACTGAATTCTTATTAATACAGCTATACCCAAAATACGAATAACAGCAACAGTTCATTTTGTTTTATCTGGTAATAATTATAATATTTAGTATAAACAATATAATTTTTAAATTGATAGTAACCAATAATAAATAATAATTACTTATCCAAAGCTACAAGAGCAATTTTTCCATCTGATGTTCCATACAAGACTTCATCCCCATTAATTCCTGTATTGAAAATAATACTTTTGTATTTTATGATATTTATAAAAATTATTATTATACATTAAAATCATTAAATTCACTTGAACTTGTATTGAAGACCTTTGATCATCATAATAATAAAAGTTTTTATGATAACAAATCAATACTGTTTAAGTTGTAGTTTTAAAAACTACAACTGTATTTAGCAAAAATCTGTCATTAATGAAAGATTTCTTTGGTCCCCTGAATTTTCTGCAAAAATCAATGTAAATTAACCCATATACAGCACAGAAATGGAAAGGAAAATCAGGCCATATAATGAAAAATTCAGCATCCTCTTCCTTGCTCAATGGAAAGTACTTTGCATATTTTTAACAGCTGTCTTTACTTAACCTAACTGTTATAATTAAAATACATATCTATGAAATTTAACATGTTATTGCTAATGTAAAATTGTATTCTTTGTTTACAAGCTTATTTTAAATTTTTAACATCACATTTTGTTTGAATAAAATTCAGTTGCAATGTCTGCAGATAAAACAAATATATGGCATATTATGCTTTTTAAGTTTCGTACAGGATATAATGCTATACAAACGGTAAAAAATACTTTGTGTATGGGGAAGATGCTTTTCAACTTCAAATGTGGTTTTGAAAGTTTTATTTGGAAAATTTTGAAATAAAAGGATGCATAATGTATGGGGTACCCTGAAACTGTTGATGAAAAAAATTGCAGGTAGATATTATTGTTAAAAATAATGAATAGTAAACTTGTGAACTTGCAACAAATCTTATTGTGTCATAGACACATACTGTTGAAAAACTTTATCCACTTGAAATGGTTGTAAAAAGATAATTATTGTATTATTGTGTTCTGCCTGCATTAAGTAAAAAAAAATAGTTTCATTTTATTTTTAAATTAGTTACTCATTTTCATCATAGAAAACTTTTCTACAAATGACAAAATTAAAGTTAAAATAAAAATATTTGTTTATAACTGAAAATTTGTTCTAGGGATGGTGACTGTTCAGTTGAGTACTGAAGTACCATTGTATTTGATTAATGCGATTCAGTAGATTTGAAAGATTAATTAATCACATTAATCAAGGGATGCCTATAGTAGGTAATCTGTATATAGTGGAACATGTCTACAATGGAAGAATTCATTGGTTCTGCTGGATTCCATTATAAACAGGTTTGACTGTAATATATACACAGTGATGGCAAAAAGTCTTGCATGAATAGTCTAAAAAACAATTTTTGTTTTGTTTCAACCAAGTTAAATAATATTACAGGTATAAGTATATGTAACATTTCACTGAAAGAATAACTCGATGAAAATTTAAAATTTTTATAGAACTGTGTACCTGATCATTAAAAGCAGAACATATAAGCTCATTTTACAAAAGAATAAAGCTTGCAGGATAGAAATAACTTTTTAAGGAAAAAATATTAAACATTCAATATTTTATGCTTATGGAATTTTGATATTTTGAAACTATAAAAATTGTGAATTATATTCCATTATAAGGGTACATTCAAACAGAATGCAGAGAATATAAATTTGACACAAGAATGCAAAGAATGTGTTTCAGTTGAGTGAAAGGCAGAAAAATAAGATTGTTATTTGTTGTGTGTAAGATTTCTAAAACATTGGAAACAGCTGAGTAACCTAAAAAAAAAAACAAAAAACAGCCAACACCATGAAATGTTATGTGAAATGAATTTATATCAACAACTGGTATAGAGTATCTTTTTAAAAATTTAAATGTAATTTTATAAAATTTTAAATATACGAATTTTGATTTTTAGAAATTGTTAAAAGTTCATAATTTATTATAAACTGACAACTTGTTTTTTGCTACACATCTTAAATACAAAAATATAGGCAATTGACATTGCATTTTAATTTGTATATAATCTGTATATACATGCACACATACATACATGCATAGATATATATAAATAAAACATTAAAAATATAATTAAAATGAATTATGTTTTTAAAACATATAATCAATTTATTTAGTATGTTGATTAATTAATTATATCATTTATTTCCAAATATTTAATTACCTCCATCATTCTGATATAGTGTAACTGTAGATGGAGGACCAGTAACTTCAACTTCAAATAAACATTCACAATCCTATAAAAAATAAATATAGTTATATATTTAATAAATGTAGAAAAAGTTTAAGTTAAATACAACCCAAATAGAAATAATAATTTTTTAATATGTCAAAAAAAATTCCCAATTATTAGTCCATTCTAAGAGATAGCATTAAATTGCCAATTTAATGCTATCTAATATGTAATTGAAATATGAAAAATACATCTTTATTTTTCAAAATCAAATTTATTAATTTTATTTCAATTTTGAAATCAAATTTTATTTTAATTAAATTAAAATATTAAAATCAAAACTTAATAATTACCAGTCTATACAATACATTTAACATTTTAAAAATAAATACTAATCTGGAAAACATTTTAAATATATACAAATGCTGTCGGATAATTTTAAATATTAGTGATAAAGAGACGGTAACTTTAAACTTATAGAAAAAATATTTTATTACCTGAAAGATACAAGTTTAAAACTTAATCACAGAAATAAGTTAATTGTACAGTACATACATGCAGTCAAAATAACATAACAGTTAAAATATGATTTGTAATAATAATTCTAATTCTTCAATTATTTTCTATTTTAAATTAAAGTTATTTCTCATTATCAATTCATAATAAAAATTTTTTATTAATAATTATGTCATAACATAATTTTATGCTTATAGACAACAAAAATGCATAAAGTGAGGAGAAAAAGTTTTTTCAATTGAGAGAAATGCAATTGAGCAAAATGCAAATTTAAAAGTTAGAAGTATATCATTTAACTTATTTGTCATTTTATTCTAAATTATTTATTTAGAATTATTATTATTTATAAATTTATTGTAAAACTAGCAGATGAGCACAGCATTGTCTAGGG